TTTTTTTGTTATTTACCTTATTAAGACACCACTTGTTTGCCCTTTTCATTCTCTTTATTTTTGTAATAAAATGGTATCAACAACAATAGATAACGAAGACGCAAAGAGTACCAGTTCAACATTAGTCAATGGAGGAGAAACAACAAGAAATAACCATAATGTGCAAACGAGACATGGTTTTGACCAAGAGCTATATGAAGAAGACATTATTCGCTTTCTTTATTATTCAGAAAAGCGACATGAGACTAATGGCAAACCAAATACGCTGACAAAAAACACTTTAAAGGATTGGGTAAACGACATGTTGTGATTAATGTCTAATGCTTATGCATATTCTCTTTTGTTCTATCTATTATAGCGTTTAAGAGAAAGAATAAAGACTGTATCAGGTAATGTTTACTTTTGTGGAGAAAAAAAAGTTTTATCAACACGTATAATAGGACTCTTGGTCGTCTGTCTCAACATTGGTACAGATCCTCCAGATGTTGTAAAGACAAATCCTTGTGCCAAACTAGAATGCTGGATAGACCCTTTTCTACTCGTTCCATCAAAATCACTAGAGGCTATTGGAAAGAACTTACATAATCAATATGAAACTATCAACGGACGTACACGATTTAAACTATCACTCGATCCTTCAGTGGAGGAAACCAAAAAAGTGTGCTGTCAAATGCGACGAAACGCAAAAGAAGAACGAATACTATTTCATTATAACGGTCATGGCGTGCCTAAGCCAACCACAAGCGGTGAAATTTGGGTGTTCAACCGAAACTATACTCAATATATCCCTGTTTCTCTATTTGACCTTCAGTCATGGCTAGGATCGCCCGTCATTTATGTTTGGGACTGCTCAGCGGCTGGTAATATTATTAATGCATTCAATCGATTTGCTGAACAACGAGACTCAGAAGCTATGCGATTATCACAAGAACAGCATCATCCAACAACTTCTTGGAAAGATTCCATTCAGTTAGCTGCCTGTGGCCCGACAGAAACATTACCCATGAATCCTGATTTACCTGCTGATGTCTTTACAGCTTGCTTGACAACGCCTATTGAAATGTCCCTTAGATGGGTTGTCATGCGCAATCCACTGCTGACATCTAATATTACCATGGACATGGTCCTACAGTTACCCGGTCGCGCAACCGAACGACGAACACCCCTGGGCGAGCTGAATTGGATATTTACGGCAGTGACAGATACGATCGCGTGGTGCGTGCTACAAGATCAACCCGAATTATTTAAACGATTGTTCAGACAAGACCTGATGGTGGCCTCCATGTTTAGAAATTTTTTATTGGCCGACCGTATTATGCGATCATATCAATGTACACCAATGTCTACACCAAAACTGCCAGAGACTCATGACCATCCCATGTGGCAAGCTTGGGATCTCGCTGTCGATATGTGTCTGTTTCAACTGCCTGCGCTTAAGGCTGCCGAAGCAGGTGGGCCACCGTACGATTACCAACCGAGCACGTTCTTTTCGGAACAGCTGACTGCATTTGAAGTCTGGCTATCGGAAGGTGCTGTGAACCCAAAAATCCCGGAGCAGCTGCCTATCGTACTCCAAGTGTTACTCAGTCAAGTACACCGTTTGCGTGCTCTTATCTTGCTTAGTCGATTTTTAGATCTCGGACCATGGGCCGTTAATGCCGCTCTTTCGGTCGGTATCTTTCCTTATGTGCTTAAGTTACTACAAAGTCCTGCTGCCGAACTCAAACCTGTGCTGGTCTTTATCTGGGCTCGTATCCTGGCTGTTGATCGATCTTGTCAAAACGATCTTCTCAAGGATCACGGCTATGCTTACTTTATCAACATTCTCACACCCAATAATGCCATGCTCAGTATCCCTCATGTGTCGGAACATCGAGCGATGAGTGCATTTATCCTGTCTGTCTTTTGCACAGATTTTAGAACAGGGCAACAGGCTTGCTTGAGAGGAAATGTCATATCCGCTTGTTTGGCTCATGTGAATGATCCAGATCCTCTTCTTCGTCAGTGGATTTGTCTTTGTTTGGCTCAAGTATGGTTAAACAATAGTGAAGCGAAATCGATTGCCATTAATGAGAATGGACATGAAAAGTTGACTGCATTACTGAATGACAGTGTACCTGAGGTGCGTGCCTCGGCCATGTATGCCCTTGGTACTTTCTTGTCAGATCCAAACAAGACGGAACAAATTGTCAATATTGAGCACAACATTGCCATCTCTGCTCTCTGTGTCATGTCTGATGGCTCACCCATGGTCCGACGTGAATTTGTGATTGCATTATCCCATATTGTTCATCAAGCAGGTCCCGCCAAGTTTCTGGCAGCTGCCACTCAGACCATTGAAGAGGATCAGCGTATAAATGATAAATTAAGAGGATCAGGTGCAAGACAGTCTGACTGGCGAGCGGCACTTGACGGCCATTTTGGATCCTCCAGCTATGACTCGGTGTACGCTGTTCTCTGGAAGGCGTTACTCAACTTGTCTGTAGATCCTCATCCTGACGTATCAAAGGCTGCTTCCATTGTAGTAGATCATATCACGGCCATGCTGCTCAACACACCATTGGTTGGGGAGTATGCGTCCAACTTGGCAAGAGAACAACAGTCTGCAAGCGGCACTGTTGCTACTGCTAGTACAAGTAGCGCGTCTCCCACTACGACTGTGGATGACCAAGAACTGCTTCGTGCAGCTACCAATCCTCATGCTCGTCGGCCTACCAAGTTGACTCGCTCCGTTTCATTTGCATCAACACTACGCACGATATATAATTTTGGAAACTACTCTTATCAAGAACCGCCCAATGGAAATAATGTAGATCAGCATCAGTCACAGCATCAACAGAAGAGCATACATAGCTCTCATGAAGAAAAGACACTGCCGCTTTCATCGGGCTTCTATGATTGGAGTTGTGAATATTTTACAGAACCACAGATGCGTGCCGCTGAAGCTGATGAACCAGGAAGTGTGATATATACCCAACGTAAATGGAGAAGAAGTCGCAACGAAAAGATTTTACAAGAGTCAAACATGACCAAAGGCATGGCAGGTAAACCCACACAACAGTTGCAAAAACAACGTTGTTATCAACACATGTTCCACATAGGGTCCAGTCGATGGGATGAGCAACTAATTTCGATGTTTAATGATACTGAAGCCTCTCTATTAACATTCCATCAATTCGAGCCTCATCTAGTAGCAGCAGATTCATATAACTGTCTAGTGTAAGTTTAGTTTATTTGGGTATATTTCAGTCTTTATTGACATGCGCATCACAGAGTTTGGGACTGGAAAACAGGCACTCCACTTAGTGTGATTGATAACCATAACCCTGCACATAGCAGAATAACAGACATGAAATTTTTGAATGAAGAAGACGTGGCCCTGCTCTTGACTGGCTCAGGCAAGCCTTTTTTTTTCTGCATGTATATTTTCAAAACTCACCTTGAACATAGATGATGGTGTTGTTCGTCTTTACAAGAACTATGATCAGGAGCAGGCAATCCTAGTTAGTTCATGGCGTGCTTTAAAAGACATGGAAAAGAGCAACTCAAGGCAGAGTGGATTGGTCACCGATTGGCATCAAGCGCGTGGTTATCTCTTTACAGGTGGTGATTCTAAAGTGATTAAAATATGGGATGCACACCAAGAGCTCCCCGTCATGGTAACTTGAATCCCCCTTCTAAAATAGCATTCGTCTCATCTATCCTATAGGATATCCCTACACAATCCTTGGCATGTGTCACAAGTATTACTAGCGATCAAGTAAGTGGTAATGTCATTGTCGCTGGTTTTGGCGATGGATCCATTGGTGTCTATGATCGTCGATTAAGTCCACAAGAAAGGTATAAGAAACTTAAAAATTAAAAGAGTGAGGTATTTACTTGTATTATAGCTTGGTCAAGAAATGGGACGAACATAAAGCTTGGATTACAAACATTCACTTACAGAGGGAGGGTACTAGAGAACTGGTCTCTGGTGGATTTGAAGGTGATATCAAAATTTGGGATATTCGTGAATCACAATCCATAAAGACGATCGAAGCACACACTCACAGTGAGATGACTTCATTATCTGTTCATGACCATAGCTATGTTATGGCAAGGTAATATGCTCATGTGAATTAAATGGAGAATACTCATGCTTATATATACATATATGTATAGTGCTGGTGCCGACCAAGTCATTAAAGTTTGGAATATGGATGGTTATAGACTTTCAACCATTCGTCCCTCGTCCGGCTTTTTGAGTCAAAAGGCGACATCAACAAGAGCACTTTCCTTTCACCCAAATCTTATGGTTATGGCAGCGAGTGGAACAGATGGATATATTACAGTAAGTTATAATAAATAGTATATATATGTGTGTGCTTATCTTTTTTAGTTATATGGCGCACATATCGCAAATGGAAATATGTAAAATATGTCAACATGTGTATCTTTTTATTATTATTCTACCTAGTAAAGCCACTATTATTATTATTATTTTTATTACCACTTGATTCGACTAAAGATGGTTGGCGGGGTATTAGTATCTGGTTCATATTCACGAGCTTTTGTTTTGATGCCTTCCATAATCTCTTTAAACGTCGATTTGTCTAAATCATCGCGTTTGCTCAAGATGCTTTCAACAAACGCCAGAGGCACATCAGGGTAGGCTTGTCTGAGCGTATAATAGTCCACAAAGACCATGCGTCGATTACTTTCTAGTAACGTATGCACCTTTTCTAATACATCAAAGTGTTCTTCCATTTCCTTCACCGATGTATACTTTGCAAAGAAATTGAATGAGATGCGTACGTCGTTTTCAATACGTTCCAGGCACGAATTCATCAAAAACTTGGCATTCTTATGCCTCATAGCCTCTAAATACAGCATCAAGAAACGATCCAGCATGTCGCGTATCAGTTGGTCAAAGATAAATGGATTCAAATGAACAAAATCGCTGCAGTAATCTTTAAAGGTCTCAATGATAGACGGAACCAAAGGTTGCTCGTACCAAGTAGTGGTAAACAGTTCATTAAACACCGGCTTAATATCATTAAAGGTCACTTCCAAAAGGGCTTCTCGTGCACTGGCTGCAATCTGTAAGTAACCGTCGATGGCTGTCGATAGTTTTTCCTCTACTTGTGATTTATAGTTGGCATCCACAATAGAGGGCACACGGTTCAAGATATCATTCACAAAGTCTGAGCATTTAATTTGATCGTTAGCAAGAGCCATCACGTACTCTATAAAGCCATCACCAGGTTGTTCCAATTGTTTTTGAAGTTCGGAAGCTAGCAGCTTCTTCCAAAAGCTCTGTGAATCCTTCATGACCTTGTGACATTCGTTGACTACAAGATAAAGCAGCTTGCCCTGATTTGCTTCAGCAGCGACATCGATTTGTTGATTGATAATTTGGAATAGGTCCACAGCGCCCGACAGGCCAAACTGTCCATCAGGCGACATCTCTGGAGAAGTATCACGAGTGACAAAGTCGCGCGATTCGGCTGACATCAGGTTGGACGTCCATTCAACTAACTTTTGACGCACAAGCTTGAGATATTCGCCTACCAACGATTGTTCCTGTCCATCCAAGAGCTGAGGTTCCAGGAGTTCCTCCGTAACCCCCAGACGAGTGCTCATGGTCGCATAATAATCCCTCACAAACCTCAGTAAGCGTAAGATAGTACCTGCATCCAAGTCCTGGTGAACCATTTCATTTAACAAGTCATACGTGTGTCGATGATACTCGAGTACGAAGTAAGGAAATATTTTGTACTTTTTTGGAAACTTGGGCACCACTTCATCATATACCAACTCAAGCTCGTCAAAGATAAAATCGGTTGCATCTAGAGCGCCTTGCCAATCTTCGTTCTCCTTGTAAGGTCGAAATATCTCTTCAAAATGTTCAAGAAGTGATTGATGAAGCTGTTCAAAGAATTCGACTCGATACGACTTGATCGTACGCGGGTTGCCCTCTGCCAGTCTCCACTTTTTATGATTCTGAAGGTCTTGATGACTCGACTGCGCCTGCCTGGCCGCCAGTGCTTTTTCATCTGCTGTTTCCTCACACTCGATGATTTTGACTAGTTTCACAATGGTAGATCCGCATCCTTCTTCGACGAGGGGTATCAGGTTTCGCGTGAGATGCCAAAGATGCTGCGTAAAGTCGTCCGAGAGAACGTCAACTCTTCTGAAATATGTCTTGAGAGTAATGAGAACATCATGCGGCGAGTCGCGCGCTTGATGCATTGTCACATCACGAAACTCTTCAAGCTTGAATAGGTGATAGTGAACACGAAGAAGTGAGTCGTGAGGAGAGTAGATGTCATTTCGCATAGGTGCAAACATGTCTTCTAAATCATCCAATTGTTGGTATAGTTTTTGAAATGCTCGTACTTTAGCTTCTGTTGCTACAAAGTTTTGATGTACTTGAGATATCTATATAGGATCGAGTGTGTCAATATATGCCTTAAAGAGCGATTTTTCACACAAATAGAAAGTAACTTGCCATGTTGATGCGAGGAAAGTCTTTAATCATTGACTGAGCATCATAGCATAATGTATCGATACAACGCATATTATCTTTTACTCTGCTTATATTTCGGCTGGATATCGTCAGCGTTTCGAGACCTTCTTGGACATGGTCAAGTTGAGACTGAACTCCCGTGTTGAGTTGTGCATCAATAGTTGCTTTTTCTTTAGTTAATTTACGGATAAGTGTGATGAGTTTTGAATTAAGATCATCTGGATGCTTTAGTAATTCAGCTAATTTATTTACTGCAGCTTCTCTTGCATCTTCCATTTTTAATATAAAACTGTGAATCTGTTGCTTACTGCATTTTGAATTTAATTGGCCAATTTGAGAATTCAATTGGTCAGAATTTTGAAGTCAGTTTGTTCAGCTTTTTGATCAGATAAAGAACAGTTGGTTTCTTCTTTGTTATGGCATATATTTTGTCGTGATGATAAGCGTCACTAAAGTCATCTTTAACTATTCATTCACATTAAAAGTTTGGCCTGTGCTTGTTTCGTATCATGTGGGTAAGCTCCTTGAGTTTAGCCGGCCTGATGTTTAGATTTTTGACGCGTCTGTTTTTGGTTTAATAGTTTGGCGAAGTGATTATCTGCTTATTTGAATCAGTACTTGACTAGCCTAATCTCTATATTGATAGTCTTAAAATACTACAGGACTACCACATCCCTTTCTCATGAATGTCTTTCTATCACTGCAATATTCTTGCCCTTTCATTGCCTTCAATATATATATATATATATATATATGTATTTTCTATTATTTGTTTTGTATATAAAATGAATTAGAATATCAGAATTGAATAGAATCAGCCATCACTTAATTTGACTTGTTCTAATTTTTGCATAATGGCATTTATGCTTTTCCGTACAACAAAAAGCTGGCTTATCTCCAGCATTCTATATTAGCCATTATATGTGTAAATCCATCTTGAAAGCTGTTATTTTAACAGCAACTTAACGGCATTAGCAATAAAGAATTAGACGACAAAATTAGGTTTACCTTCAACAAGTAACCCAACCACTTCCGAGTCATATACGTTATACACGACAGTTTGTCTATGGCCAGCTTTATCTCTTTTCCTAGCTCTATTATATCTTTTTCAAAACTGCCATTACTGCAGTTGCCGTGTTTTTTCACTTCAGTCACTAACAATTCGAAGTTGATAGTTGATAAAGGATCAACATATAAAACAAAAGTCGGGTATCATCTGGCCCTAGTTGGTGTGGGATACCATTCGATATGTGAGCTTATTGTTGAATTCAGTTAGATAATTTAATAGTTATACTTGTTTTTATACTTACCACTTGATTTTAACATCTTTGCAAGGTGGTATGATACAGTTGGCGATGAACGGGTGAAGGGTTTCAATTATTAAATTTGACTCACTTTTTTTGCTTTATCAAATTCAAAAACCTGTTCAAGAGGGACGGCACCATCCTTGTTGCGACCTTTCCATCGTTGTCTGCACAGTTTCTTTTTATATCATCAACCTTGAAAAGGTCATTAATTCGACAACTTGCGAATTACATACTTTATAAAAAGAGAGGAGTATTATTAAAACAAGACGCGTATGCATTTTATAGGGAGATTAAATGTGGTTGGCATGATTTGATGTGGTTAATGTGGTCAATGATCAATATCATACGTAGCTACTATTGTTATTATTATAAGTTATCCTTATCAAGTGCGATAGTATAAAGTAGAATGAATGCTCTACTGTAAGGTATAGAGTATTATAATGACTTCTATCAAACGCGTCAGACGGCCGTTATATCAATATTATCTGCTATTCATTACAAAAGCAGCTCTCAACAAAACTCTCCTTTGGTACTATATCCGCATTTAAATATATCCTGGAGAAATATGAAGCTTTCATTGTGGAAAGCCAACAGCAGAGTGAAACTGTGCCTGTTGTACAACCTATACCTTCACGATAATTTTCATTGTTTCCCTTCCCCAGGTCTGAGCTGGCGATGTATCAAAATTAATAGCCAAAGATGAGAAGCTTAGTATAAACGAGAACTCCATTCAATCATGCTCAAAAATATTTTCTCAAGTATTTTAACTTTGCCAAGTTAGGAATAAAAAGATATGAGCCAGTAATGACAGAAACAATACCTTAGGGATTAAAATTGATTTTTGTTGCGACGTCTTGGTAATAAATATTGCCAATTTTCATGATGAATACATCGATACATCTTTACCCAATGATATTTCGCACTTCCAGTTTGTAGTACAGCTTTATGCTTATTTGTACTCCAAACCACCTAGGTTGCCGTGTAGATATTGTGCCACTTGCGGCAAGAAATGTTTCCTTAAATGAAGTATGGGAGGCGATATGGTTCTGCTGGATTCAAGCCTTGGTTTAGATTACGTTCAATAAAAAAGACAAAAGAGTACTTTTTTCAAAATTTTATAAAAATAAAGCATGTTATCTAAAAAAGCGTATATTCTTTAATAATCTCGATTAAAACAAGGTCCTACCTGTCCATTGTTCATGACATCATCTGCGACTTGGAATTTCTAAGAATATGAGCCAAAACACCAAAGAGTGGCGACTTGAAAATTGGAAAGTGCGGCACTTTCTATCTCTCTTTTTTTTATTTGTTGTACACACTGATCTTGCATGAAAAGATTACTCCGGCTGACAACTGATAACATTCGACAACGACGACGACAATATAGCATATCGTCTACTGTTGACCATAGACGTATGACAGAATTACTGAAAAAAGAATATGAAATAAAGAAGTTTAAGCACGCCTATACTATGGGAAAAGAGGAAAGTACATTACTTTCAAAGAATGTGAACATGATGGCCGATGAGGAATTCAAGACATTAGAAGGACTGGGTTATACTTCACCAGACAAAGTGTATAAAAAATAGACATTATGTGAGCTTATTCTTACAAGAAAAAGATAGGTTTATCAACAATGAACTGAACTTGCAGAATATTGAAGTCTATGGTTTTGACTATGATGTAACAAAGAAATAGATTTCTTTATATGGCAACTAACTGACAACAATGTAGTACACACTAGCAAATTATACGGAAAACTTATCTGTTGCTATTTACAAATTTCTTTGCGAGATACTAGTTGATGTGTTCAAATACCCAAAGCAGATCAAAGGTAAAACAGACAAAAAAAAAGAAGCTACATTACTTAATAGTTATTAGATTTTAAATTTGATCCAGACTTTGCCATTCGAGGACTGCATTATGGTACAAGAAAAAAGAGGTTAAAGGGGTGATAGACTAAATATTGAGTGATTAGATTTTAACAATGGTTGGTTGATGAAGATTGATAATATGGCAAATATTCAATTGAATACCGTCCATGGTAAAACTCATCCATACATACTGTTCATGATTGATTGACCTTGTCTTTTTCAGTTGGAAGAGAACCTATCACGGATGTGAATGAAGTCATAGAATACCATAAAGGAAGGCATATACCGCCCGAGTACTTGAACAATAGCATGTTTCAGCTCAGTGATTTATTTTCCATACCACAGGTAAGCTTTACTATATATGATCACCTTATACCTTATCTCAGCTTTATATGATAGACAACGTTACTTAGCGATATAATCCAGTACTTTAGAGATCATAACATGAGTTTTCATCCACGCTACCTATCCGATGACGTGAACCATGCTGCTCGTATACTTCATACAGGCGCACATGGTATTGGAGGTACGCTTCATATGGAAGTGATGAAAGATATCTCCAAGTATTTGGAACGCGCACCTAAACTTGTTGGATATCTTGAAACATTAAAGAAGAATGGTAAAAAGACTTTTCTGTTAACCAACAGTACATTGTCTTTTATATCCAAAGGTATGGGTTATCTCACTTCCAGTGACGATTGGCGAGACCTGTTTGACTGCGTTATTGTAAATGCTCGAAAACCAGAATTCTATCGTTCTTACCGTCCGTTCAGAATCGCTCATGAACCCAACTGGGACGCAGTCATGCGATTTGAACCTGGACAGATATATCAAGGAGGTAACATTAAAGACTTTGAGAGACTGACTGGATGGTAAGCTTGTGTGCGATCCTTATAGAACCGATACTGATCTATATATTTATTTGCAATTATTTAGGAAAGGGTAAAATTAATAAGAAAGGAGTGACAGTATACTTGTAGAGATACTAATTCTTTCCTATAAAAGACAACGAGTGCTCTATTTTGGTGACCATATCTATTCTGATCTAGTAGATGCATCCATTCAACATGGTTGGCATACAGTAAGTTATCTACTTTCTTTCTATATGAAAAATAGTAACGTTTGATATAATCTGTGATATAGGGCGCTATTATTCATGAATTAGCCAAAGAGATAGAAATTCGTAATCAACCATGCTACCGACACAAGCTATCTTGGCTGCTAAATCTTGAGCGATTACTGAATGAGGCCCAATCATGGAGCAAGGATCATTGTACAGATGAGTTAAACAAGCTATTGTCAGAGTGGAGATCAGAACGAAACGAAGTTCGTATTCAGTTAAAATCAGCCTTTAATGAACACTTTGGAAGCATGTTTAGAACATATCAGAATCCATCCTTTTTTGCAAACAAGATTCAGAAGTTTGCAGACATTTACATGTCCAACATTACCAATTTGGATAACCTTTCCTTAGATTATGTATTTTATCCCAACAGAACTTATTTACCACAGTAAGATGATATCAAACTTAACGAATGCTTTACTCATTCATTTGTAGTGAAAGGCTAGTAGAAGAAATTGTGGATAGTGGTCAGATCAAGCATATTTCTGAATAGAAGGACAATTGGTCTATTTTATCTTATAAATTATTGTTATTATTAACATCATGTGCACAACAATCGCTTCATTCTCACTTTATGGCTCAATATTATCACCTGTGGTCAACCAACGAGTTGTGTTACCTTGTATTCTTTTTTCAAACGCGTCTGAAATATAAAAACGCGTAGTCACGTTTTTTTTTTTTTTTTTTTGGCTGAGAGAGACAAAAAGGAAAATTAACATCCAGCTCGCCTTTCCCTTCCCTCCTCTTCTTCTTTTTATCTTTAAACTCACCCCCCTTCTCTTATTTATTTAAAATGGATTCTAAAGATCTTAAACTACTTGAAAAAGAAATTCTTTCCTATAAAAGGTCACTAAGACAATGGGAAGAAACGTTTGAACGTAAATATAAACGACCAGCTACTGTTGAAGACATTAGAGGACGACCATCAATAGGTAAGATGGCAACAGATTACAAGTATATCAACTAAATTTTATATCCTTTTTTAGCCAAGTTTTATAAAAGATATAACGAGTTGAAAAAGAAGTTTAACAAAGAATTAGAAGCACGTGCTGCACAAAAGAGTTCATCACAACATTCCCTTCGTCCTCCTTCATCAGGCAGAGTGCTCTTCCCTGAAGCTTCTGACTCAGAAAACAAGATACCATCAAAAGTGATAAATCGACAACTAACAGAAGAAGAAGCCTTTTGGCTTAATATACCAGCAAGTGACAACAATAGTGCTACGAGTCATGGCCTTTCTAAAACCAGCAGTGATATTGAGATGACCAGTAGTAGTAGTTTTAATAATACCAATAGCTTTAGTATCTGTACAGACAATGATAGCCAAGATGTGAGCAATAACAACAACAATAATAGCAATGATAACGATGGCTTCAGTATCCCAACCATTCCTGAAAAATGCAGTCAGACAACACAGCCTCAATCACATCTATCCATGTCACAACCAGTAACGGCAACAACAACAAAACAAAAGAGCCTACAGCCAACAAGCTCTAGTCAGCCAACCCAAAAGAGGAAACTGATGTTGGCTCCTGTAGATAAATCACAACGACATGAACGCAAGAAGAGAAAGACGTTAAATAGCACTGAAAATAAGCATAGTCTAAATGGTTCTTCCTTGTACTCTTTTTCTGATTTAAAGTATGAAGAAGAGGAAAAGAAGACTGACACGAATTCACAAGTATCGATGACTACAGATGACGACAACACATCAGAAGATGACGATGACGATGACGAAACAGCAAAGCTGTTTACCATTGTTGAATATCAAGAAAACCATTTCCGTCACTATGACCCTTCCATCTTTCGCTGGGACGATCCTGATTTTAGCATTGGTCCACAGTTCTTTGGATCACACGCTGTGTGTAAAAACTACCTGACTGATCCTATAAGAAGAGCACGTATCCAGGAAAAGTTGAAGAAGGGGATCCTTGGAGAAGTGAATAAAGAAAATGATTTATTGGAACAAGAAATTCTAAGGAAAGTTCAAGAAGAATATAAAGACATGTTACCAAAATTGATACCAAGGTCCAATCCCAAGCCTGAAACCAATACTGAAAAAGTAATTGAATTCAAGAGAAAGCCTATTCAACGAAGACAGACGCGTCTGGTCAAGAGTAAGTTTTTATACATGAAAAGTATTCAATATTCACTCTTCTTTTCTTTTAGTCAAATTCTGTGATTGATGATATTTATGTTTTTGATTGAACAAATAAAAATAATTTTAAACAAGTTTAAAAGAATAGCCGTTTTGTTCAATTGAAATTGACATCACGTGTTGTAGAAGTGGTTTAGAATGGATACAAATACACACATGGTATTTTTATTGATTTTAAAATGAAGGCATATATATATAAATAAAGAAAAAGAGGATACATATTGGGTATAAGATTTTACAGTAAAGAGCGCGGTTGACTTGATTTAGCTATTTTTGCTTTCAATGCACGTCCTTTTGTACTTTTCATTCCATTTTTACTTGTATTTCTTTTGACAATCGAGTCTTGTAATGGATTTTCAATCAAAATTTGTTCAAATACTGTCAGATAAGTTTGACCCAAAGAGGCTGGTAATCGACAAGTCTGTTTGACAGATGATCGGTCATAATCTCTTGGACTATGTGTATAGAATGTCTTGTTTTCTTCTGAAAATCGAACTGACTTTTCAGATGAAGAACTAGATGCTATCGAACAAATAGATCGTTTTCTCTTTAACGTATGCCAATAACCACCAAGAGAAAATTTAAAGGAAAACATAATAATAAAGATGTGTGTATTTGTATTGAACTTGCTAAAAAAAAAAAGTACAAGTATTTATATATAAAACTCAAAAGCACTGTTGTTTTTGCGCATTCGTCAGGAGATTTTTTTGTATGTGGATTCAAGGTTGTGTTGCATGATTTTGTATATTAACAATATGAAAAAGGGACCCTTTTATTAAAAGGAAAACAATAGTCATAAACGTGGCATCATGTTTATTCCTATCACACGCTAGCACGCTTATTATATCCTATTTTGTTAAGCATCACCCTCTTTTTCATAGCATGCACACTATATTTCCTACACAACTTTATCGGCTTATTGATGACAATCAGTGCTTGACAGAAGAGACGTTGTACATGATGGACCATGCTCTTTCTCTTCTTTTCCTCTACCTTTTCACTCCGTCGTTCCACAGACCAGATCTCCCAAGGGGTAGGCACTGCAGGTTGAATGGATCGTTCTTTTTCGTTGGCCGTTGTTGTTGTTGTCGGATGATGTGATAGTCCACAGATGATACATGCTGCTGGGTAATAAACGGGCTCATGATAATATTTTGTCCTTTCATTCATGTCATTCCGAGTTGTTGCATATAAACTAAGAGAAGATAGGGTCGAAGGGGACCACATGGCGAGACTAGAGGTGAATGTATCATGAAAGACGGGCATTTTTTATTATTATTATTATTAATTGAATGGAAAGGAGGAAAAGAAGGAAAAAAAAAAATAAAAAAAAAGAGAATGAAAAAATGGGGAGTAGTAGTATAATTTCCCTATTTAATTGAACGAGGGGAGATACAGTGTCATTGCTCTACTTTTTGAATAAAAACCCATTCACTTGTAACAAAAGAAAAGGGGAGGATTTGGATATAAGCTAATGTATTGCGTATACGTTTATTTTGATACGGAGAAATAGTAATTTAAAAACAAGGGACTAGACAATCTGTCTGATAGCAAAACTCAAGAGACCACCGATGGCTAAACCAAGGACAAGAGCAAAACTCATGACACTACCCACCATTGATTTCTCCGCTCCAGATTTAATGGTTGCCTGTTGTGGTGCCGCCATCATGCATAAACCACCAATCCAGCCATTGCTGACAGCAAAGATCCAGACAAGGAAGAAATAAACAAAATCATTGGATATCAACACGGGAAGCCTTCGTTTCTCTGATACGATCACGTTACACACTAAGAATAAAGGGATAAAGACTGTACGAAGCAAGGATAGATTGATCAGCGTCTTGGCTCGAAATACTTGGAATCGTTCAGACACAGGTAGCGTTCGTCCAACCCAATCACCAATGTTAAATAAAAGAAAATGAAAGGCAACAAAGATGTCATCATCAAAAAATCGATTGCTGTTCTTCATACTGTCATTTTGTCGATATGTCGACTTGATGAGTGCAGTAAGCGAAGGGAAGAGCATCAGGGTGATGGCAAATACGTAGGCAACAGCAAAGATCAAACCGTATGATTTGCGTACAATGTCAATCACAGTCACAGCACGTTCCTCTTCTGACTGTTGGTCAACCTCCTGATCATGTCTAGCTTGCAAGTTCATGTAGTAGCCGTAGAACGGGAGTTGGGTCACCAGAATGCGTCCGATCATAGCAGCTGTAGTGATTAAAAGAGCAAAGAGGAAATACAAAAATGCCGAGCGAGTGATAGATGCTTCATCAGGAACACGATTACCACTACCCGCAAGTGCACTAACAATAGAGGATATTGCAACTACGACACCGGCGACACCTAGTAAAATTCGTATTAGTGACTTTTTGATATTTACCTTTTATTATATTTTTACCTTGACCACTAAATGAAAAAAAAAGGAACTGTTAGATCTCTTCTTTATCTTTATTCATCATTTTTTACCTGACTACTGCTTGCACATACACTGGAGGCAACCGACTAGCCTCACTAAATACCGAATTCTGGAAGAAACTTGTGGTTCCACCTGTTAGGACAATAAAGAACATGACAAACCAAAAATAATCTATTCCCTCAAAATCCACCTTGACAGTAATTGCCATGGCAGCAAATACAGCTGTGTTTATGCAGATTGGAATGAAGCTATTTAATCTAAAGGACGACTATATATATATATCACATACGTATTAATATCCTTTTCTGATTGTGCTTATGAATTACCTTGTTTTGAAGCCATAAAACAATGATAAATGTTAAAAAGTTTGTTAATGTCGAATACGTCGAGAAATAGTTTTGAAATGTCTCTTGATAAGGCGTTTCTGCAAATCGCTTTACAAAAAACTCAGAGGCAGTAATGAACACTGATATAAAGATTAATGGATGGGATATATACAGTATAGAAATATATACCATTCCAAGGTAATAGCATGGCTACTCCATACAAGAAATAAATCTAACCACCATCAGTTCTCTCTCTTTCCTTTTCAAAAAAAAAAAAAACAACATACCCAATATACCAATTTATACTTGTCTATGGGTTCTTGTTTCCATTGATCTAAACTCCGTTCATCTAATAATCGTCTGCTTGCTTCGTCTTCCTGCTGTCGAAACAATCGACATGTAAGTGATTTTAACATTGTTTCTATAAAGCAAAAGAAAATAACTAAAAATGAGCCGTGAGATCATTCTTATCATTTCTGTGACTCTTTCTAACTTTCTTTGTGTGTACGCGTGTATGTTTCATATACTTTTGATCATAAATAGTTACTATTTATGCCTTATGATGCAGTCATACATTTAAAAATGCCGATCGTGGACGCTTATTGTGAATCGCTTATTTGAAATGGAAAGTGGTAAGTTTGAATAACAACTGCGTCTCTATTTTTTTTTTACGTGTATCTTTTGCTAAATTAGGTAAGCATCACACCATTGTCCCTCAAATGGTCATTTTCCCTATTTGAATGTAATGATTTCTCAGTCAGTGAGCACCTTTTTCTCTGTTTACACAATTTATCAAATCTAAACAATGTATTCTGCTAGTAAAAAAGACAATAAGCAATGCAAGGAGGAGAATCAAGCTTGCCAACTTGAAATAACTTGTATTGATGAATATGTGATACTGGAGTTGATCAAATTGACACGATTGAGAGCGAATAATAAAAAAAAAGACCTTCATCGTACGTCCAATCAAGCATCGGCAACGGTCACCGGCTCTACCGTAAATGTGCCTCAAGCTCCAGAAGAACGGCGCATGGATCCGGTCGAGAAGAAGGTTGCACAAGTATGAAGTAAGTTACAATTTATTATTAATGATTAAGGATAAATAGTTTCTACAGTTTAAATCTTTCCTTGGAGCAACTCGGAGACAATCAATCTAGTGTAGATACCGACCGTTTTGACGAGAGTGGGGAAATCAATGGTGGAGAAGAAAGTGTCTGCAAATCCAAATGGAAGCATAGTAGGAATCCATCCACGAGCATATTCAAGAGCCCAGGCATGTTCAGGAATCTTGTATTGTTGACAGTTACCTCTGGCTAAAAGATGCATTTCTCCTGGCTTGTACACTTCACGACTCACTTGTCCTGCAGAATAAGCCCATTGTTCACCTTCGAGAATGATAAAGTAATCATCGGCAAAGAAACGACCAGTGTGTCCTTCAGTACCTACGGGAGTACCAAAGATAATCACATATTCGGTAATAGAGCCGTGCAAGACCCACATGGAGCCCATGGCACCGCCTGCGTTGTTAAATACCCACTCTTCCTTCAAGTTGATATGTCCAGGATACTTGGCTTCTAAATCAAGGGCAATGTTTTCCATCATACCCTTTGTGTCATTCTTACCGGCGTACTTTTCAATATTGGCCTGAGCTATTTGTTGAAGTACGACTGGATCAAAGATATACCATTGATGTTTGATTTGGTCCAAACCCACAAAGAGAGCAGAAAGCAGTGTGAGAATGAAAAGAACCTTGGTCCAGCAGGAAGCCTTCTTGGTTTCTTGTGCCTTTGAGGTTGTCATTATTATATATAACTTTTGAGATGACCAACAAAGAAAGAAATATAAACACACAGGGAAAAACGAAAAAAGTTTATTTATACGAAAAATTTTGAAGGGACGACAAATAGAGTGTATGCGCGCGGAGTTACTTGGACTGCTGAACTACATCTGCAACACTATCCGGTGTTGTCTTGTTCGTTCTTTTCTTTTCCACTTCGACCCTATCTCTCTCTTTTCTTTTTAAACCTTTTTCTCCTTGCTCATATAAGAGTTTTTTTTGGGGGTCACTAAACAGTCAGATCTTGCCGGGACGATTTGGTCTGCGAACTCGGCGCCCACAGGCTTTGAATTTATTTCATTTTATAATTTATAATAAACTAGTCTTCTTTCTTTTCTTCATCCTCTTCCTTCGCTTCTTGTTCTTCAATGCCTTTTTTTCAGCTCTTTTCTTGGCTGCTTCCTTTTCTCTTTCAATTGCTTTTTCATGTACTGACTTTGACCAATCAATTGCTTCTTGTAAGGTAATGGCAGGCGTTGGCACAACACGATGGTACCTGTAGATACCCGTCGACTGTTCTGCTTCTTGCTGATATTTTGTCTGCTTTAATAACTCAAGTGCTTGTTCAGCCTCCTTTTCTTGACCTTGAGTGTACCTGAACGGCTCGGTTTTGCCCAAAACATTAAAATACACTGTCAGATCGGTCGCGTTGGGTGTCTCTCCACTCTGCTCCACAAAGTCTTTGAGTTCATGTTCATACAAGGGGAAATGAATACAGTTCATGTCGATCCCAAACGATTCACAGTCCGTTCTGTGCCATGACCGTGTACCATAGGTTAGATGAGACTGTTGTGAAAATAAAAAGAGAGCCAACACGATGAGACCATAATAGAGAGCACGGCGATAGATTGGAAGCATGGTGGATACCATACCTTCAAGTATCACCGAGGAGAGACTGATGCCGTAGTAGATGCTGGGTAAGATATCGGACATGCTAACCGTATGCGGCGGAACTAGCCGAAGCATCACAACATGAGACGCCACAGCAGAACTGAGTAGGGATATTGAATTTTTATAAACTTGATTGACTGTAATTTCTGTTCCTAACAAAAAAAAGGAGATGTTTAGTTTGCTGTAGATCATGGTTGTAATCTATGTGTATGTGGTACCTGCAATACTGAGCCATGAAAGCTGAGCTGGGAGTTTGATCTGGCGCTTTGCCAGGAACTTGATCAAACAAAGAAACCCCATGTACCCAATGATGGCGCTCGTTATAAACTTTTGCACAGCTGCGTTCAGTACGAGATGAACTGAGAAACCAGAAAGCTTATACCATAATTTTGAGCTTGTTCTTTTCAGAAACCATTTCATAGGCGTGCCTGCATTCTCTAATTTTGGGTTCAGCAGTCCGTCTTGTAAACCAATACCTTGTTCAAGGCGATTGTAAACCACAAATGGGTACTTCAACATCAGATTGTGGGTTTCTCTAAACTTTTCAATAAATTTCATCTTTGTGAACGAGACAGGTTCCGCGTTTTCTACTGTAGAAAAATAAAAGCATTAGTTCTATATGTCGCCCCTTTTCTAGACGTAGACATACACTTTTCATGATAAGCAGATTCAACAATCCATGTAGAAACGTGAAGACCTGCACTGGCCATACATGTCACCTCTTGGTGGTTATGACCTTCACCTTCATAATATGCTCCATGGCTAATCAGCGCACATCCACGTATATGAAGCAGTCTAAATCGCTGATTCAATGTCTGCCACGTTATATTCATGTCTCTGCTGTGCCTATTGTCGTCATCTAACACGATCAATGTCCAGTAATCGTACACGTCATTGATCAATTTATCGCCATAGGCACTAATATTAAACATATTCAATATTGAATTTAGACTTCTATCAGCTATACTCACGTTACTTCCTGATGCTCTCTTTTGCTTGTTATTTGGGGTCGATAATCATGAGAATGAAGTTTACGAGTTGACGCAAAGTGCTCTAGCCGGATTTGATCTCCATTATGAACAAGTTCCAAAGGCTGAGACGAATTATAAAGACTCTTTTTCTTGTGAACAGTCCAAATATTGTTCAGATCAACATAGGGATACAATGTCACTTCCTGTTCTATAGTAACATGATATAAGATGTATTATATGTTACCAATTATTTTCACTTACGTTTGCTTCCACCTGTAAACTGATCTTTATGTGAATGAAGGTATCCGCCTGGAGACCCATCATGTTTGATCACAATCTGCGATCCATAGGCAATGTCTAGATATGCATCAGCACGGTATTTAATATAAACATCGATGCATAATTCACGACTTACTTTGTTGACTGGGTTCAAATTCGTTTCCAACAAGTGAGTATCGAAACCGCGAACTAAGGATGAGATCATGATCGCCCGCCTTTGAGACAATATCAAAGTGTATCTTAAAGATAAACATGTATATCCAAAATGGAAACACCCCAACACTGAAAAGATAAACATATAGCTTTCGAAGACACGCGTATATAGGCTGTCTGGTATTGGTCATATCGCTCCATATCTCTCTTCCAATCGAATACCAAATTACGGGGAAAATCAATGTTCCTGTCCATTTCGAACTAAACACGTTTAAAAAGATAAGAAACAAGGAAACTATTAACTGTTTAAAGATGATAATGCAATACCTGATAGAAAGTCCAATGCATAAGCCTGTTAGTATCTTCCAGAATAACAGATAAAGCCCACCGTATGGGTCACTAGAACCAAATATTAAATATTGCTGAGTCTCGTCTTGTTTTCTTACCTTTCACTCAAGCGGTTACGGACAATTGTCCACACAAAAGTAGCAGCAGCACTAAAGAACAGTACGAATACTTCTGGTGAAGCATATCTTGATTGAGTGATATGACCATTCTCTTTAATACAAAAAGGGGGTTACCACATGTTTATTGAGAATGCGCATTTTTTTTTTTTTTTTTACCTAAGATCAAGAGTGTTGCAGCAAGAGTACAAGTAGAGCGGGAATGGCCCATATTGCGGAGGGTAAGGTAGCAGATGGGAACGATCAAAGTCCCCAGAATAGCAGCAAGCCTACGCATGCCGATCAAAGGAAATTGATGGAATTCTCTATAAACAGAGATAAGTGGTCCATGTATATATAAATAAAAACATATACTTTACTGTCCAGCATATAAGAGGTCTTCAGTTCCATAGTATCCGACGATATACGCCAGACCTGTATTTATTAAGCCACTGAGAGGAGGATACTTTCCGATAAAGTACTTGTTAGCCATATACCAATTCGTCTGTCTACTCGTTTCCATTTCAATCTCTGTGATAAAAGGAGGATGTCCTAACTTCAGCACCCGAAAGTACAGGCTCAGTGCTGTCAGGATTACCAAGCGGATCCTTTCCTGAACGATGCCCTGAGACGACGTGTCTAGATGATTTTGATATTTTTTAAGCTTTTTTTCATCATCCTGATGATCCACTGGCTCCGTAAATGGATCTGATTTTCCTTGTAACCTTCTCGGCCTCAAGGAAAACCCCATGACTGACATAAAGAAAGAAAGAAAAAGGGATATGAATGAAGAGAGGCGAGAATGTGTTTTGCTTTCTAAAATACATAATTCAATTATTGCTAAATAAAGTTTAATTCATGCATTGCCAATACCGAGCAGAAAAAGAAAAAGTAGTACAAGTAACTCCGTCTGTGACGTAGAGTGGATCCTCACACACATACATTTTTTGCCCTTTTTTATATATTCTCTGTGTTCAGTGATGTCGACAGTGACAAGAAGAAGAGTTGCCGGTCATTCATCGAATTCGGATGATGATAACAATAATAGCAGCAGTTCTGTTAATTATAATAATCCTACTACTGAAAAGAAAATTGCCTATGACCCACATGATGTTGATGAAAGAAAGTCTACACCCAAACTAACTTTAATGGAAGAAGTTTTACTATTGGGACTTAAAGATAAACAAGTAATTAGTGATGAATTACACCGAGAAAAAGATAGTAATGCTGCTTTGATAGGGATATCTTTCCTTTTGGAATGACAGTATTAGTTATGCACTACGTGGATGTATTGTGATTGAACTAGCTCTTAGAGGAAGAATAGCCATGAAAAAGGATCCTATGCGTCGCTCCTATCCTCTGGCAGATCGATATATCGAAGTTATTAATGATGCAATCACAGGCGAAGTTTTATTAGATGAAGCCTTGAAGATGATGAAAACCAGTGAACATATGAGTGTAGCCAACTGGATTGATTTAATGAGCGGTAATAAATATATACATATACATACAGAGAGAGAAAGAGGCTGAATATTAATCAGTTCTTTGTGTTTAAAGGCGAAACATGGAATGTGATGAAGATTGGATATCAACTTAAACAAGTACGAGAACGTTTAGCAAAAGGTTTAGTAGACAAAGGAGTCCTTCGAACGGAGAAACGTAATTTTTTATTGTTTGATATGGCTACTCACCCTGTCGCTGATCCTGCAGTGAAAGAAGAGATCATTAAGCGTGTATGTACCATGCTTGTCACTCGTGTCTCACCTACAGCTATTGATGCTCAATCAGACGTCCCCCATGCGTATCTTAGAACGGTCAGTATGATCTGTGCCGCATATGCTGCAAATGTATTAGAAAATGCTCTACTTTATCTTCAGCCTGATTTAAGAGAACAAGCATTCAATAAGGTGGATGAATTGATGAACGAATACTCATCATGGCCATTTGGTAATGGTGCAAGTAAAGTTGAGATACCTTCGGGAACAGAACTTTCCATAGAGGTAGTGGCTAGTGCTTTAAATGTTCTCGCAAAGATGGATGCCATAGTAAGTGAACCTTTCATGTTAATAATCATCATTAACCCCTTTTATCATAGCTGTAAACACACACATCCTCCTTTCTTTTGATTTCCCTCCCTTCCCTTTTATTTTTGCCTCTTTATTTGATTTTTTCGTATAAAATACATAAGCTCTGTGGTGCCTTTTTTGCAAAATGTTGAACAAATCTAATTGGAAATCATCTATTCAGAGATACAGTTTTCATGTGTGACTATCAAGTCAAAGTGTTGTGTGCATTTAAAAAATCTTTAAAAAGTGCGCTTTATACTTTGTCAATCATGTCAACAACAACAGCAGCAGCAGTTGGTCCAACCAATTTCTCAAATGACGGAAAGGATGTGATTGAGAGACATTTGGAAGTGAAGAGTGAAAAGCACAAAAACATTCAAGATCTGTATGAGATCGAACGTACAGTGACTAAGATTATACGAGGCGGATACAAAAAGATCGCTTTGCAATTCCCTGACGAACTTCTGGCGGATGCAGCAACTGTGGCTGAACAGTTGCGAGAAAAGACACAAAAGGAGATCTTCATTTTAGCAGACACGTCTTATGGTAGTTGTTGTGTTGATGAAGTGGCAGCTGAGCATGTCAATGCAGATCTCATAGTCCATTATGGTCGATCTTGTTTAAGTCCGTAAGTGATGCTTATCATATTGCTTGTATGAAACTAAATTTTATAAAGTACATCGCATTTACCTGCTTTATATGTTTTTGGTCAACGTCCTATAGATATACAGCAGTGTACAAGTGAATTTGAAAAGCTCTTTCCTGATAAAGCTCAGCCTGTTATTATCATGTGCGATGTAGAATACTCATATGCGGTAGACAGTTTGACATCTGCTTTGCAAAAGACATATCAGTGTATTATTCCAACAGTGATACAGACAGAGTCCAAGTTACAATCAACACTTGATCAGCACAAGACTCTTTCGACTTGTGCCTCGCACGTAGAAAGACAAAGACTAGGTAAATCTTGTTGCGGAAAATGTAAAGGAGATTTAGAGGACGTGGTTCAGGATAAACCTGAGATTCTACCGGCTGAACCGTTGCAAGATATGAGTGAACTGAAAGAAGAGAAAAAGAAAGGAGGCAGATATTTTGAACTCCCAGAAAATGTGAGCATAGATACATGTTCCATCTTCTTTGTTGGAGAAGAGAGCTTGACTTTGACTAATATCATGATGGTTCACAACAAATGCCCTGTAAGTTATTATAATATGTCCATTTTTAAAGGTCTCTCATATCTCTTGATGTAAATAGGTCTATACTTACAATCCTAAAACCAACATTGCGAGAAAAGAATCTGTACAAGTAAACAAGATGCTAATGAAAAGGTATTGTATATCCAAATTCTCATCATCAGGAACTTTCTTTCCTTATTCAAAATGTAGATATTTCCTTGTTCAAAAGGCAAAAGATGCAGAAACAATTGGTATTGTCGTTGGCACATTAGGCGTGGGTAAGTTGAATACAGGCAATAGAAGCTATACGAACGATAACAATGGGGGTTTGTAGCTTCTTACTTAAATATCATCGATCATTTGAAAAGAATCATTCGGGCTTCTGGACGCAAATCATACTTGTTTGTTATGGGCAAATTGAATGTAGCAAAGATGGCAAATTTCATGGAAATTGATTGCTATGTGTTAGTGTCCTGTCCTGAAAACAGCTTGATTGATTCAAAGGTAAGTTCAAAGAGGGCAGGCGAACAATTTGCTTACGTTGATGATTAGGAGTTTTATCGTCCAATTGTCACACCATTTGAACTAGAAATTGCTCTTAGAAGGTAAAAACTAGAGTGTATATATTAAGTATATGTCGTTCAACATTGTCTATCAGGGACATGGAGTGGACAGGCGATTATATCACTGACTTCTCAAAGTTACTACCCCAGCTACGTTCAGATGACTTTTCTTATGATGACGAAAAAGATGATTTATCGAGTGATGAAGAGCCTCACTTTTCTTTGATCACTGGTCAATACAAGTCAACTCCCTTTAATAGAGCAAGAGACAGACAAGAGAGTGGTAAGATATAGTGTGTGAAAAAAAGATGTCGTTATAACTCTTCGTGTACGATAACAGACTCTGGAGAAGTGATCACAAGCAAACTAACAGATTTAACACTAAGAAGCAAAGAAACAAGTATTACGACGCTTTTGAACAGTACAGCAGGTAAGATTATTGTTTAAAAAGCAGTTGAATTGGTTGTAAACCATTGTTTCTAGGACAATATCTTCAAAACAGAACTTATAGAGGTTTAGAGGCAAACATTGGTCAAGATGCACCAGCAGAGTTGACAGAGGGGCTTTCTGGTATAGCTCGTGGATATAAAAATGAAAAGGAATAAAGATTTATTTATGTGCAGATGTAAATATTAACACATGAGGATTCCTTATTGAATATGCAACACTATTGACATGTAAATCATACTTTGGGTTCAATCAACTTCATATTCATCTTTTGGCGCATGCCTTCTGCATCTCCTTCAACAGACATTTCCACCTTAACTTTATCAAATGTCTTCAATACGATATCTCCTGCAACCAGGCTGTTGTGTTCCTCGTTATATTCAAATGGTTCTGAGATGTATACAATAGATTCAAGGCCGTATTTGGGCACAAGTACAGAAATACTATTCTTCAACACACGCAGCACACGGGCCTCTTCAATTTCGACTTTGTTTCTAAAGAACATGCTAGTAAAGAGTTCAACTGAGCTACGGCCAGCTTGTTGCGCCATTCTATTTCTAAAGTTCAAGTTATCACAGAGGTCCTTCATGGCATTTGTGTTAATTAAATCTGAATCCATGAGGGCATCTGGATCGATACATGCATGTAGCAGACGGTGCACTACGACATCTTTATAACACGTTATTAGTCTTCATGTCTGAATTAGTATCTGGCGTAATTACCTGCATAACGACGAATAGGTGATGTGAAGTGAGTGTAGATAGGACTGGCTAAACCATAATGCTTAAACTCCGATTCAGGTTCTGTTCCTGAACAAAAGTATTGTGCTTGCATCATACAACGGGTAGTCAAGATACGTACAAGTGTATTGAAATAAGGATCTTCAGGTATCTAATAAAAAAGACAGTTAGAGCATTGTTACTCTATATAAACAAAAGAATGCTTACCACAGCTTTATCAAGAGAATCAGCCAATGCTTTTGAACTGCTAATGTCCAGAGTAAATCCTTTTTCGAGAAGAATCTTGCGAAGTTGGTCAAAATTGTTTATAGGTGGCGCTCCATGCTTACGAAGCATGGCTGCACTAGGGAATCTAGAGTATATCTTTTTGGCAACAGAGATATTTGCGAGCAACATGAATTCTTCAACAAGAGAATTTGTTTCCTTTAGTTCTTTCATTTCCACATCTACAGGGTCTTGAGAGTCATTCTGAAGGTTAAATCTAAGCTCAGGTGAAGTTAAAGTCAAAGCACCAGCCTCTAGACGTCTTTGGCGAAGAATCTTGGCAAACTTGTTTAGCAAACGAATACCCTTTGTAACATCATCTTGCATGCGTTCATCATCAATACGACTTTGAGCTTCATCATAAGTGAATGAGAATTTGGATTTGATGATACTCTTGCAAAAGTCGACATTGACGATTTCCGCATTTTCATTCAATTCCCATACACAAGAAAAGGCAAGTCGTTCTACATTAGATCGTAAGGAGCAAAGATTAGTACCTAGAAGAGCAGGCAACATATCAATACGCTTGTCGACAAGATAAACGGATGTACCACGGCTTGCTGCCTCCTTGTCTATGTGTGTTCCAGGCTTGACAAAGTATGTGACATCTGCGATATGAACACCTACTTCGTAATTGCCGTTTGGTAGGAAACGGACGTGGAGCGCATCATCGATATCGGTACATCCAGGTGGATCGATACTGCAGACATTCAAATCTCTAAAGTCTATTCTATTTTCGTTCTTTACATGATGCTCGCGAACAACCCATTGATCGCCTTCTTCTGGCAAGTCGCTAAGCACGGCCTTTGAGAATTCTTGATAAGGAACATTATGCTCCAAAAGAATAACTTCTGTTTCTGTTTCTTTATCACCAGATGCACCTAATGTCTTGACAAAGTGACCCATAGGAAATCTGGAAGTCTTTGGCCAAGAGTCGATTGCCACAATGATACGACTACCAACCAAGCTACTGGCTTGACTAGTCTTAATTTTGATTTTGGGAATTCGACGATCTATAGCACGGAAAGTACAAGTGACGGGACCACGGTCGTTTCCTTTAGGAACGGAGTTTTTGAGAATAAAACCACAGTAACTAGAAGAGTAGAATGATGTTAGATCTCTATTTAAGCTTACGACATTATCTTGACTTACGGTCTCCATTTCTTTCTGATAATACCGACAACTTTACCCGTAGGCTCTGGCTCTCCAACTTTATCGGTTGTCTTTCTTTTTTTATTGGGGCTACTTTGGTCATCGTCGTCCTTTTTATCTGTCGACTCTTCTTCACCATACATCTTTTCGTCATCATCTTCATCCTCTATAGCAACAGAGGCACCACACTTCCACTCAGATTTTGGCAGTAACTCGACAGCAACTGTATCTCCATGAATGGCACGGTTGAAATTCTTTCTGCCCACGATATATACCGTCTTTATTTCTCCCTCCACTTCTCCTACGACCGTAGCTTCCAGAGTGTTGTAAGGAGTGACATTAAATGATGACTGTATAAGCTTGCCTTTTTTGATGCCATTTTGGATTTGAGCAGGAGTCAAATGTTCATCATATACAACGGTATCATCTGCTTGAGCTTGAGCTGCAGATAACATATCTACTAATTCAGGCACATCTTTAATGCCGGCAACATATTCAGCCACACTCATCGCTTTTATTCCTGACGCCTTTGCTTTATCCCGATTTGCAACATCGTCTGATAACAATATGACCTGTATGTCCTCACTAGGATTACTTGCTTTTAAGTGATCAGAGTACCATTTGGTTGCTATACGAATTGCTCTGTCATTTCTGTCATTAGGTGTCTCGTCTTTTAGCTTTTCAATAAAAGTATCCTTTTGGTGTTCATTAGCAAACATATAGAATCTCTTGGTCTTGTCTGCCAGAATCTCGACAAGTCGATTATATATAATAATATTCAAGTGTCGAACCTCTTCTTTAACTGTCTGTAATACAACAACATCTTTGATAGCTGGATGTTCCATAATATCAAGCTAAATAATAAACTTAATATACTAACTTTAATTGATCATATGATTACTTACCTGTCCCATAAAGACATTGGTGTCAACAACAAGATAATGAGGCTTCAAAGTTGCTGTAGATCTAGGTTCCGCAGACAACACAGGTTCATTCTGAGTACATTTTTTACATAGAGGTGAAGAACATGGAATGTCATCTCTCAAGTAGTGTTCCTTGACAACTTTCACTACGTTTCCTTTACGAGTTCGTTTTACAAAAGTCTTTGATCTAAGCATTCTTTTTTTGTTTAATCTAGAGAAAAACCAAAAGAAATGCAATATTTTCTATCAATAGTCACAGAAAGATGTATCTTTTGCACTCCGATTTTTTTTTGAAGCATCCCTACATTTGAATGGCATCAATGGCAACCAGAAGAGGCTGAAAAGCCGTTGAATAAGGATTAACCTGAGATCTAGCGACTTGTTTATATAGTTATGAACATTATAGCATAAAATAAGCAAATTAAATTCGAGATAATGACGAAATTAGTAGCAGTTGAAGTAGTAAAAAAGAAGGGAAATACTAGGAACACGCAAACGTGTAACCGTATATGCAATTCTGGTTTCTCCATTTTTTGGTTTAAGTATTTATGAATATTGACAAATCACTAAGCCTGTCCAGGGATTGATGTAAAATACCAATTTATAGTCCACAGCTTGGCTTGTGTTTCTTTACAGGAAGAAAGAGATATAAAAAGAAAGTTTTCTAATTTTATGTTATCAGTTTGATCACCAAAGACCACTTAGCTCATGTGTAATTATGATAAACTCCTATTCACATTATCTACCCTGTTATCTGGTGAATGTCAAACTAATGTAAAGCTTGGCTACGATTGTCAATGGCTGTACTCCTTAGATCCATAAATAAGGGAGAGAGAAAGGATAGTCAATCAATTAGAGTATGAAATAATACTAGGAAAGATATCTGGTCAAGCCTTAGGAACTTCTCTGTGTCAACTGCTAATACGCTTACTTTTTGGTCTTTTTACTTGGTTGATCCTGCTTACCGTGCATTCCACATAAATTAAACAATGAAGGCAATGCTCAATTGTCAAGCCATGCTCTTTAAGCCCTCTTATACCACTTATAAACAAAACCTCTAATTGTAAAGCGTCTAATCCCCAGTTCTTTGACAAACACTTGTAAATAAATACTGCATTTTATATAGCGACTGTTATATACATATATATTTTTTAACAAAAGAGGTGCTTTTATTCGGACTTTTTTGAGGGCTCCTAAAAGACTTGACATAAAGCTGCCTTCATGCTGGAGGCGTTCCAGGAGTGGCGGCTTTCATCAAAAATTCCAAGCATTGTTTGGAGGATTTATCCGCCAATTCCTAGTATTCTTGACAGTTAATAAAGCAAATACAACTATCTATTTGGTATTAAAATTTAACCTTCAAAGTGATCAACACGTTGAAGCACTGGTCCAAACGACTTAGATCAAGATTGGAATGGGGAATTAAAAATTCACCAATCTCAAATAGTCTATACATATGTGTATAGACTAAATCCATGGCGTATACCGATGCCTTGTGTCTTAATTACAATGTAACTTTCAGTTTATCTTGTGTAAAAATATCCATAACCCCTCACTTACCGCCAATAAGCATTCCAAAGACTGGAATTTCGGTAGGGCAGTCTTTCGACAGCAAATGATCAATCTCATCCTTCAGCAAGTTACAGAGTTTTGTAAAATCAGGGTGATATATGTGATCCTCTGTAACTATTTTAGGACCCTTGACTTCAACGTGGATTATTTGCTGTTCGCAGTCGTTGTAAATGACCTTATATCCTCCATTTGACTTACGGCCTAGCCCACCCTTTCTTGTTTTGCTCCCCAACGCTTCTTCGTTGGGACTAACAATGAATACAAATTTAAAGTTAATTCACCTAGTTTGTAAAATGTATAAATAACCTACCCAAAATAAGCGAAATGTTTGGTCTCTTTAAAGAAAGACGACAGAAGAGGAGTGACAAATCTTGTTCTGAATTTGTCTTCCAGATGGTGAGGGCCACAGACGGATTCCAGTTCCCTTATCCTCATTATAGGAGATTTTTAGTCTGAGTCTAACGATTTCTTCCAAAAAACTAAAGGTTTCTTCGCGAATCTAAACATTTGCGCACAAACCTCATAGTAACTTGTCTTATTATCGCTAACTAGAAATTTTTTTTGGTTAATTTTTTTCCACACTAAAAGACACCATATCCCAGGGAAGTCCCCTTCGGGAAGATATACTCAACTGACTCATTCTTACAGTCATTTCAAAACAAAATGAGATTAAGGATGCCATAAGAGCCGCATCTGGTCGAATAACTGTGCTAAGAAAAGAAATGAGGCAGGTGAGGGAGATGAGAATTCTAAAAAGAATTCCGAGTATTACTTGAGACAAGAAAATGCCCCGTTGAAAGCGCAAGCTAAGAGTACTTGTACTAGTGTAAATGAAGCAAGTAGGCCAAGATTCACGGAACAAGAGAAATTAGCCCATGGCTTGTTTTTGAATAATTTGTTACCTAAGCCTACTGTTGAACATCCATTTAACAAAGATTCGAATAGGAAGCTTATGGAAGGCGTACACGACAGTTCAATTGATGACAAGACGTTTAATTTTGCTCATGATCACCTTGTTCTGATTAGGCTACCAGCTATTATTCGTTAAGTCAAAGGTAAGTACAAGGTCGAGGCTGGTAAGCCATTTAAAATATTGGGCCCATGAGGAGCGTTTAGAGCTGCTGAGCTCATTAAAAAGGCAGTGGCTCCTTTTTGCCTTTTTTCCGTGCTTGTGTTGTTTCTTAGGGTGCGAGATTGATGCTTTGTTACTCTTAGCTTGGCAAACAGAAATCTCCTACTGCACCAAGCAGTGTACAAGATAATTACAAAGATTAACTAGTAAAGAAAAAAGCTAATTTGTACATTTAGAAAGATGTAGAAGTAAATGATGCTAGTGCTTCCGAAGACCAAGGCCTGAGTCCTCCGTCTTCGCCTGATGGAGAAAGTGACAGCAGTGGGGAAAGGGAAGTTCGTAAGCTAAAATCAAGATGTCGATCCCATTGATTGCGGCTGCTACATATTCTGAGACTGCTGGTCGTTACGAAATGGTAAGCAAGGCAAATAAAGGAAAAGACATAGAAGCATTGTCAGAAAAGGTACGCGGTAAATAGATGCATTGATATGCAGAAAGCAAATTACCAAATGAAAGATGACAAATAAGGCGGATTAAGCTATTATTATTTATGAAACTATAATTAATAAATTCCAAAGTATTAAACAAGTTTCTATTGTATTTAATATATTTTATATAATGTGTATGAAGTAATAACAGTAGCAAAGGAGTAGGGGGAAATGCTAAACCTTGTTTTTTTGATGAGTAGAAATCTTTAGATAATCGGAAGAAATCATTGGATGGCAATCTAGAGATTTCTAAGTTTTTCCGCAAAACGAAGAAATGCAAAAAAAATCTAGCGATTTCTTCTGATTATCTAAAGATTTATACGAAATTTCTTATTAAAACTTCCTTTCAAAATTTCCTACAGTGTCTATAACAAACTAGTTACTCACTTTAAATGGAACCATTTTAACCTTACATGTTGACTACAGCTTTACTCATGTTGTATATAGCTTGTTATAGAATCAAACAAAGAAAAGTACGATGAGATTGCGTGTATCTTTATTCGGAACAAAGTAAAGGGAATAAAGAAATGGTAGCATATTCAATATTTATATATTAAGAAGCTGCAGTATCTGAACCTTCAGACTCAACTCCGACTCAAAAAAATACCTGTTGAAAAAGTATTTTTTAGTCTGTCAGCCAAAAAATACCTTAAAAATTATCGAAGTAATAACCTACAGACTCATCTATACCTCATAATTCGACCCAAAAGTCAGTCAGTCCAATACTGATAAATTCAAAGTGGATGCCACTTCTTTTTTTAGTGCAAACGAAGATTGGCCTGCTGTTGATGACAGCAATACTTCTTGAAGAGTATATCTTCTTTGATAATTTATTAACTTGTACTGATTGCTTAACAACAACGAATGTTTAATACTTAGAATACTTGATATTTTGTAAGTGAAAATAAGGAATTATTTCATACTATTGACTGTTTTACTAATTACATCTGTTTATGTCTCAATTTTGGGACTTGTAGTTCATTTACCCTCTCAGTATTTAAATGAATTGACTAGATTTGCTCAAGGTGTGACAGATCTTAAAGTAACATTAGGTATTGTATTCAAACACTGAATAGTAGCGTGAACACTACAACTCATCATCTCTTTTTGCTGGTTGCCTTAGCCAGCTATACATTCTGTGGCCATCATTCTAGTCAATCTGGTGTTTTTCATGGTCATCTATTGAACGAGTGAACCAAAATCAGAGCAGTACTGGTATTTATGTGTTTTATAAATCCATAAAATAGGTAACGACCCTCTATTTATACAAGATGAGGGCATCGTATATCTAGTGTAGTCATGTTCCTGAGGCTCCTTTCTGACTCAGTGCCTGTACTCTTGTTTTTTTTTTTTTTCTTAATAAGGGGTTTTTATTTCACATATACTTTAGCCCCAGTTAGAGCGAACAGACAAAAAAACACTCCAATTAAATGTTATAAATAAAAAAGCTACTGGAGGTAAAAACTTGCGTAAAGTGACTTTTTTCCGTGCTTTGGTAGAAGCAAACGTATTTTTGTTTTCATTTATATTAGTTCTAATAATAAAAATAGCATACTAGTCGCTTTCAACTCGCTACGTTCGTTTTTGCACGTCACCGTGCTGCTGCAGGCTTAAGGGCTTCGCCCTTTATGATGAGTAAGGGCAAATGCTGAGTGAGATGTAGAAAGGTTTATGCATTTACAGACGAAGTAAAGATCGCATAATTTTATTTGATGACAGTCACATAATTACAAAAAAAGAAAGTGGCACAAGTATAGTTGAGCATAAGTTGGACATAATGCATATATTAATTGAGCAGAAGCTCTGAGTAAACAAAATTATTAATTGTATTTATATTCTCTGGTAAAAGGATTGATGTGCCAGAAAGAGAAGTGGCCCTTGATAGAGCGACATATAGTTGGTCATGCATAAACTTCAATGATTGGCCTTGGGACTTATTTATTGTCATAGCGAAACATAGTTTTACAGGAAATTGCTTCCTGCTGAGCATAAATTGCATATTGCCTTCTAGGGTCGATAGAGTACTGTATTTTTATTAATTATTGACGTTAATTTTATAAAATATTGTCGTAAAATAAAAAAAAAATATTTTCGTAAAAAGACGACAAAGAAAAATACGTTTGAATAAAACGACATCATGTCAAAAGAGAGAGAGATAATGAGTATATGTAGAAAAAGAGAGAAAGAGTATGTTAGTATTAGAGCACATATCCTAATATTAGTTTTACTTACCACCAAGGTGCATTCTGGGGAGAGTAGCGATAACTACCCAGGAAAGTTTAAACAAAAAAAAAAAGGAACGGAGGACAGAGAGAACCCAGGGCGTCAGAAGAGACTATTGGGGAACGTTCCAGATACACGCCAGAGAGCAGAGAGGGCGGGACAAGCGAGTCAGAGCAAGGACCATGAGGACAGGCTAGTTTTGATTGGTGAATCTTTGAACACTCAGAGGGACACTTGATAACTGCTGTAAAGAAGCAAAAAAAGGACTCAATTAAAATGGGTTTTTATATGTTTTTCTTTCAAGCAAGTTTCAGGATCGGGTACCTAAGACAAAGAAATCATGTCAAATAGAAGCAATCTGCTTCGTGACCATTCAAGAATATGCATTGCCAAATATGACTACATGTTCTTCTGGCTTTATGGAAAAACCGAGTAAAGAATTTAAACTTTTATAAAGAGACTAAAGAGGGACTATTTCTAATATTAAGTTAATTTCAACTCCAAGACAGCCCACCTGTTAATATTACTGTCAAATGAGATAGTGAACCATATTGTTTTTGTATTTGTTATTACTCTGATAATATTACAACGGTTTCAATACGACACCTCAATTTGGAAATACAGTATCTCCATGGATGTCATGGCTGATACTACGAAAATATTCTTGGTAACGGCGAATTTACATTTCATACAACATGAATTTTGTTCTCACCATTGGGTGCATTTATTTTCGGTCACAGGCGAATTTACTTTCCGGAAAGAGTGTATATCTTGGGATGAGCCCTATGGGAGCATCAGGTTTGTTTACCAGGCGAACCCTAAGCATATACTGACCAATACGCATCACAATTAGCCTTGTTCCGTTATAAAGACCACTTGTTGGGTTGATGTTTCTAAGGAGCGAAACTGGTTCCAATATATATTCGAATGATTAGAGTGATAGTGTTATGCATATTTTAAAGGCATATTGTGTGTCAAAGACGCGTTTTTATTTGAAATAAAAAGTGTACAGGTACAGGAAACAGCTGTTTAATGAAAAGACAAGCAGTAAGGACAACTTGAATGAAATGAAATTTTAATTTTTTGATGCAGATTTTGCTCGAGTCGTACGTTTTGGCGTCTCTGGCTCAGCAGGTTTTGTGGATGCCTATATGAAAGTATTAGAGGATGTATAATCAAACCGTTTTCACTTACAGTTATTCGCTTTTTTATAGAATCAATTATATTCGCTTGCTGCTTTAAAAGTTCGTTCTTTAACTTTGATTCTCGAATACCCTTTGGGTTCAACCAAGACAAGAGTTGCTCAATCTAAAGGTACAATTAGTATTCTTTTTTTTTTTTCATCCTTTGTATAATCTTTACCTCTTCAGGTTCAGAATAATATTTCCACCATCCTTTGTATTCACTTGGATTGCCAGAGATAAGTTCATCCATACGGTTTTCGAGCCATTCACTTTCTTCCACTAATCCTTGATCTTTCATTAGCTTCAGGACAAAGGAACGGCCACCACCGTAGCCATAGTGACGCTCAGGTAGATCAGTCATGTAATCTCTTTCTAGTAACAATTGAATGTCAACATCTGTCGGACTGTGTACATACAATCTTCCTGTTCCGTATGTGTTGGATACACCAATGTTATCAAGATATATATATTGATTATAGAATCTATCTTTCCCCAAGGGACGTATTCTCAGTGTCATATATCTTCTCATGCATCTCTCCAGGTGCTCCTCCTGTATATCTTTATAAATATAATCATGTGTAATATCTACAAATATACTTGCCTTTTTCTTTAAAACTTTCTCTTCTTCCTCGAGCTTGCGTCTTTCATTTGCCTTATTCTTTTGCTCTTGGTTCTTTGCCTTTGCTACCTCTCGCTGTTCAGCATGAACCTTCTTTCGTACATGTTCCATTTCTTCTCTCTCTCGTTGCTTTTGTTTAAGCTTCTCTTGCCTTGATTGATGTCTGCCTTCACGACTCAAGTTTTGATCCTCAGATCTATATGTGAATTCATATTAAAGAGACTATTCGGTGTTTTTTTTTATGTTTGGTCATACGAGTCACTTTCATCAGATTCATTATCTGAATGATCAGAGCTGTCGCTGCTGTCAAGGTGCTCTTCTTCTTCCTCTTCGCCATTATTTCCTTTTGCTCTCTTCTCAGCACGATCTCGCTTATCCATTTCAATTCTCCTAAATGATCTACATATTATATTAATATACCATATGGTAGACTAAGGATCACTTACAGAGCTTTGCTCTCTTTGTTAAGTTCAATCTTTTGTTTACGATATTCCGACAGTTGTTCTTGACAGTATTCCATATAATTTCTAAATAAAATGTCAATTATACATGCATCTTTTGATATACGCCCTTACTTGATCAAGTTAGATTCATTGACCACATTGACCAAAAATTCCAAGATATCAAGCTTTTGTTTGAGGCTTAAAGTAGGGTATCGCTTTTCTCTTTCAGCGGCTGTCGAATTTGCACGAGGAACAAGATGCTGCAAGATTTCATTCAAATCAGGAATCATATCGGGAGTTGCCACGTCATTCAAGCAACCTATCAAACTGGATTCCCATCCACGTCGCTCAGTGCTTGCACGTAACTCTTTATGATCCCATCTTGAACTAATTCTCAAATGTTCCTTGTCACGCCATCCTCTTTCTACAGTAGGAAGCACAGGTTTACGTTCCTCTTTGGTATCTTCTTCTTCATCCGATTCTTCTTGATCTTCTAGATCCTCGATGTATTGGTCCACAACGTCGCCATTGATTATTTCGTTGGAGGTATCATCATTACGTTCATTGATAATCACATTGAGTAGACACGCGTTATACTCGACAAGCACAGTTGCTTTGGGTTGATGCGTATTATGGAATAATGCGCCCTCAAATTCGTCTACGCTATAAGCCGAAACCTTCAATGGCTCAGCAAATACGGTCAAGAAAGACCAAACAGAGAGGAAAGAATCAAAGAGCTCAGGGGGTATGGATGATTCCTTGTGGGGCATGGGTCGCAAAGATCTTCCGCCGCTAGGATAAGGAATAATGATCTCTTTGCTATCACATTTTTGGGGCGACATGTCAACAAGCAGCCAGTTTAATGATGGGTCTTTGCGATAAATTGGGAGATCCAGATCTTCCAAGGGGTATTTTACAGCCACTTGACGTTTACGTTCCTCCTTTTGCCGTTCTCGTTCCTCTTTTAGTTTAGCCTTTTGTAACATCGATTCTTCCTTTTTAGCTTTTCTTTCTGCCATTCTGTCATCCGTCGTTCGTGTCTGCATTAATTTTCGTCGTTTGTTGCTCTTGAGAAAATCATTTTGTGCTTCCTGTAGGTGTTGAGGTAAAGTTGAATCAATGCAATAGTATTGCGCTATATTTGGCTACATAATACATCAGTTAATAAAGAATAAAAACAAATGAAACCGTACCTTGATCAACCATGGAGCACCAACATAGTTATCTCTATAAAAGCACTCACGGATAAAGCACTGGACATTATGACGATTAAATGATTCACGTTCTCTTCTGATAGAATATTGACCGACGGTACGAATATACTCTTCTAACGATCTTCCTTTTTCGTCAATTAGCTGTACCTTATACATCCTTCCTCCTAGAGATAACATATGATTATTTTCTCCTTCAGATGGATGAAGGAAAGCATCTGGAAATCGGAGTCTACCGTTTGGTTGTCTAGGCACTTCAGACGAAGACGGTTGCTGCTGTGGTTGCTGTTGCCGTGTTGATTCATTGTTCATTGACCAACTGTCAGGGATAATATCGACGATTCTAGCAAAGTAACTTAAACAAAGAAATGAGTAAGTATGTTCCAAAACAGGTAATTGAATACTATACTCATTGTTATTCAAGGTGCATTGAACAACTTCACCCACAAGATAATTGTCTTTGAAATAATTCATGATATCATCAATGAGTTCATCCAGTCGAATCGTTTCTATATATATAAAGTGAGTCTACATCCATGATAAAAATTTATTGCTGTTAACCCTACGGAATTGAACCCGAGCCAGTATCTTTTTTCGTAACACTTCAGAAAATTTGAACTCTGCTCTGTCACCCTCCATCCTTTCACTTTCCAAGGCTTGTTCATATGTCAAGTTTTGTCTACCAGTAACTTCACACTCCCAGACAGCTTGATGATATAAAGATAATTTGTTTATATATTCTCTGCATTATTATGCAAGTGCACATTAGTTATTTTACAAAATAGAAAAAAAAAAAGTATTAAATGCTTTTACTCGTAATTATCAAATACTTCATTAGTCGATCGAAGGTACCACACTTCTTTCCTCTTGCGCTTTGGTTCATAAGGAATAGTCGCCGCAGGTGGAATTCGCTTTCTGTTCAAGAGTGGCATATAATATAAATATGTGCGTGTGTGTGTGTCGTATAAAAGAAAAAAAAAAAAAAAAAAAGAAAAAAAATAAAACATCACCCCTTTTACAGAATATCCACTCTGAACTTTAAGGTATTTCAGCCAATAAAAATATGAATTTTGACCAGTGATCTCAGGCTTTTTTTTTTTTAAAAAAAAAAACAGTATGTGTGATTGAAGAGTCCCTCTATAGATATCTTGATTAAACTGATTGAAATAAGCTTAAGGATGAAGCAACATCAGACAACATAAGGGATAATAAAGGTTGTCTTTACCTTTGGTTTGAAAAAAAAAAATTATGCTAAAGAAAATTGAAAAGAGAGAAAGAGATCAAGCAAGATTGAAAGCACATACATACATGTACATAATTTGATCATCTTGAAAGCCCTGATTTATTCTTAAGCCATTGACAGCCCCCATGTGCAAAGTCTGATGATGTTGGCGTCACCTACTTCGCATGAAGTAAACATTTATGGAAGAATCTCTCAATATATATGCTTGTCGGTTAACAAGATAGTAGACAATTAGTCCTTTAAGTGAAGAGTATTATCTATAACAATAACTAGAAAAATCACGGATCACTACGTCATATACTTGTTCATGACATGGATTCAACAAGAATCAATCGGTTGAAACATAAAAATTATACAGAAGCGACCCCCTGAGTTTTCATTTATGCGTGCTTGATGTTTTATAAATCCCCCTTTCTTTTTCTCTTTCTCTCTTTAATATATAGTGTTTCTGAATTATTCTCAGAGAATATAAAAAAAAGAGCTTATCATCATAAATCATCCGTGGTAGTAAATGGGCTTTATCAGTAATGATTATACTTGTTGGCATGATACAATTGATCCAATATGCTATGTCGTCCGGACCGAACACAATTTCGGCCAATCAGAAACAAAATATCACTCTCACAGGAACAAAATATCGTCCAGTCAGAAATAAGCTTTCGCTGCCATAGGAATAAAGGCCAACACTACATGCACCAGAAAATAGGATAATACTACGGGTGTTACCTACGTTATCACTTTACAAACTCACAATACTAAAGCATTTGCTTAACCTAAGGCTGCTCAGTTCACTCTCTCTGATATAAAATTCGAATATATCATAATTACACGTGAGCTAAGTGGTTTTGATGATCAAACTGACAGCATAAAATTAAAATATAAAAATCTCTTTTTATCCCTTTCTTCTTCCTGAAAAGAAACAATCAAGATAAAAAATTTATAAAAGCCATGTTTAGATTGACACTACATATTGGAAGGTTTTGTTGGGCTACATCATAGGTAATGGGTAGAGACAGCGCTCGTAGTATTAGTCTAACTTCTGGTGCATTTTCTGGTACATGTAGTGTTTCCCATAATCTATGAAATAACTTCAAAAGTCAACGCCTAGAATAATACCAAGAGAGAAGCGCTTGAATTCAGCTATAATGACGGATGTTCTGATGTTTTCAACAATAAAAAAACGAAGGTCAATTCAATGACTATCACAGTAGAAGTGTACGTCAGAGATGTTGCGCTTGATGTACACATAGAAAACTCTAGTGAGAGCTTCCCCGAAATGCTTAACAGAGATAGCCGCTATTCTGGGTTGATCAAGGTCACCATTAAAGAAGAAAAGCAGGATAAACAATTGATGAAGAAACTAATTATTAATGCAACCAAGTTTAACATCCTGGCTACATGTTCATTGTTACTTTCATCAGTAAACGACCGCTTTGTAACCACTGGATCATTTTGTCATGAATCTGTACACTACTTAAATCCTCGCTTCACTCAAATTTTATTCAGAGAAAGCTTAGTTAAATCATTTTATGATGAGCAAACTGCACCTCGACCAGAAGTAACCGCTTGCAGACAACTTATGTCCGCATTTGACCACAAAGCGACATACTTTACCTACAGATCCAGTATTTTTGCCAGCCCGATCATGCAACCAGCCTCTGTATTCACTGTTTGCAATGCTCCTTCCAATGGGTATGGCATGTCTATGGACAACAATGCTCATCTTGTTTCAGTTTTTTTTTCAAATCAATGGGCACATGGATAATTAAAGAGCAGACTATTGCTTTGAGCAACATTGAGAAGTTGAAAGAGTTCGTTTCTAATAATGTTGATGTTTGTGAAATTGTGGGTCGTACCTTCCACGATTGCCGTGTGGCTCACTCCGGCTTCGGATGTGATTATAGACCATCAGACCGCGCTTTTATTGTCATAATTATATTAAAAGCTAAATTTTCACTAATCAAAGTCCTTTAAATCTTTCAAAGCCGCACATTGTGGTGTAAAAAATGTCAAGTGGATTATCTGAAGAAGAAATCAATGAACTGCAAGAGCTCAGAGACCTGGCGCTATTTATTGGATCAGCTGTACGACCAGATAAAAGTCGCATAAATTGCGGATCGTGGCTTGTGACTGCTTTCCTTTTTCGGACCACAGCGCACGCGAGCTCTGTAACAAAGACACACGAGAACCAGGTGCAAATGAGATCCTTCCTTTAACTACTTCAGCCAGTCGCAATGGTATGTATAGAGAGAAAAGAAAAAAGATAAATATAAAATAAGGGAGTGTGGATGGATGAATGGATGGATACATGGATGGATGATTAAATAAAAAAAGAGGAGAAAATAACACTGGGTGTTTTGAAAGGAAGGAACATGTCACTCATTAATTTGCATTTTACTATAGCCCTTCGTCAAGCAACAGAAGAACAAGGCCTACTTCAAGCGTTTCCAAGTCAAGTACCGCAGAAGAAGAGGTAAAGAAACATTGCTCAACTTATATACAAATGCAGATAATTGACGAATATACATTGAATAGAGGGTAAGACTGATTACTATGCCCGTAAGAGACTTGTCGTTCAAGCCAAGAACAAGTACAACTCTCCCAAATACAGAATGGTTGTCCGTTTCACCAACAAGGACATCATCTGTCAAATCGTCTATGCTAAGCTCCAAGGTGACTTTGTCCTTGCTGCTGCTTATGCTCACGAACTTCCCCGTTACGGTATCAAGGGTGGTTTGACCAACTGGGCTGCTGCCTATGCCACTGGTCTTTTGCTTGCCCGTCGTGTTCTCACCAAGCTTGGTCTTGCTGACAAGTACGAAGGTTTCGCTGAACCCGATGGTACCGTTCAAATGGTTGAAGCCGCTGAAGATGCTCCTCGTCCCTTCAAGGCTTTCCTTGATGTCGGTCTCGCTCGTACCTCCACTGGTGCCCGTGTCTTTGGTGCCATGAAGGGTGCTTCCGATGGTGGTATCTACATCCCCCACAGCGGTAACCGTTTCCCTGGTTTCGATATTGAAACCAAGACCAACGATGATGAACTCCTCCGTAACTACATCTACGGTGTTCACGTCGCTGAATACATGGAATACCTTGAAGAAGAAGATGAAGAACGTTACAAGAAGCAATTCTCCACTTTCATCAAGGAAGGTATCACCTCTGACATGGTCGAAGACATGTACTCTGCTGCTCACGAAGCTATCCGTGAAAACCCTCTTCCCGAAAAGAAGGAAGCCAAGAAGCCTGTTAAGACCGGTCCTCAATTCAACAAGCGTGTTCGTCTCACTAGAAAGGAACGTCTTGCCAAGGTCAAGGCTGCCAAGGCTGCTTTCGCCGCTGATCAATAAGTTACCTTGTTTAAAAACACTTGTGGTGTTGTTGTAATAAAATAATCTATTACCATCGAATTAATAATGATGTTTGCGACATCTTTTGTATGATATTAAAAAGAGATCTAGAGCCAAACTGTTGTCATGCATATTACAACTCTTTGAACTGACTGATTTTGTTCATAAAATAGTATACGCACTTCAAATTCTGATAAAACTTGTCTGAAAATATTTTTCAGTTACTTCAGCCAACTGTAAAAATAATTCAGATAATAAAAAAAAAAGTAGACAGACCCTGAAAATACTAAACTAGACGTAATTCTTTATCGACATCTATCCCAATAAGTTTTAAAGTGTCTTATCCATTCAATGCAATCATCAATGGCGACAGTATCACAAACGGCCTTGATTCTGGTCGTTAAAGTGTATCTAAAGGTGAGAGCGGAAATATTTTGATATCCTTATGATAAATTCAAATTTTATATCAGAGAGAGTGAACTGGGCAGCCTTAGGTTAGGCAGAGACTTTGGTGATGTAAATTTGTAAATTAATGCCACATGTAGCGCACCAAGAAAGCGTTCGTAGCATTAGTTTATGTTTGAATGCATTTTTGATCGCGCCAGGTATTTGCCAAAAAAATAGAAAGAGGAGAGAAAAAGCGAGGAAAAAGCGAGGAAAAAGCGGGCAGGTCAAAATGAATGTGTGTCAGCAATACCGAAAGCGAATGGCAGAAGAAGGTAACAAAACTGGAAAAGAATTGTCTTTATCAACGCAAATCTGATACATGCGTGTATTTGTTTAGATATTGGACGCCTTCTGCCTTTCAGTGCAATACTTATAAATTGCCAATCACCGCCTTTGGCAATGGAATGAAAGGCAAGGATGGTGTCAAAATAAAAGGGCAGTAAGCTGGCATTACTAGTGTTTTTTTCGACAAGTTGAAGCAAAGGCAAAAAGAAGAAAGGCTGCTGGTGACATACAGTGACGAGTTCAACACTTCAAAGGCGAGATTTGCATAAACAAAGAGATATTAAACACTAACGTTTATGGAAAGGTATGTCACCAGTGCCAAAAAAAAAAGGAAATGATGTTTGTATACATCGGTTTCACAAGCGTCCTAGTTTACCAGAGCTGTGGGATGCTTTGGAACCGCGATGTGAATGCGTAAAAAAACATCCATGACAACGCTGCTGCATTGATATCAGAAAGCAGTTTATCACACCCTTTTCACCACCCTCACCGGGCTTAAAACCGCTGTCTCGTACACAGTTTTCTTCTCTTCGGAGAAGAATTTAGTTTGATTCGTTCAAAAAAAAAAAAAAAACTAACATTGTCTAAATTTAAAGTGAAAACTGTAGCAAATACCGTAATCAACTACGCGGTGCTGCAAGTAATAAAATCACGATTTCATACATATCTAAGATGTTGTTACGCGTCAAGTAATCAAAAGTTACAAAAATGCAGAAACCATGAAGGAGATATTTCACAAGATTAAAACGAAATCCGTAGCGGATCAATAAAAATAGTTACAATGTGGAAAAGCATAAAAAGAGTTCTATAGTTATAGTGAGCATCGTACGTGATTCTCTTTATTGCTAGTTCAAGTAGATAGATATCAGTGTGTTTGATCTCTTCCTATTTCAGATTTGACTGAATTTGACTAGCCTGCCCATTGATATATCCTTTAAATAAAAGATTACTTGCTTGCTGATCTCCCTTTACTCATTGGTAATATTGACATTTGCAACCACAATAGTAGCTATAATCTTTCAGGATATTGAATTCATAATGAATAGACTATATCGGATATTGATAACAGCAGCAGTGAATCTGTGGGAACAACTCGGAAAAGAGAACTGATGTTTAACTAAAGCTGTGTACATTAAGGTATTTTACAGTAAAAAGAATAACCTCCTTGTATTAAATAATCATCTTTATATGCAATTCGACTAAAAGAAAGCAATATTCACCAATATTGATATCAAAGCTATTATCTCTCTCTAAAGAAATAATTTGCCAATATCATCACATGTGTATGATAGTGTGACCATCTTGGGTCTATTTTATATAATATCTTATCATTTTGCTTATCGTTGAAATTCATTGCCTTGTTTATTCTTATCTCGTATTGTGTCACATAAAACCTAGAATTTTGATGATAAGCATGAATGAGTGTCAAGACAATGGGATCCGTATATAAAGGAGGATTATGTTCACTTTTTCTCTTTACTTTATATTTATATATATATTAATTCATTATGGCTATATTATCACAAGGTAAATATATAGATCCATTGACCTATTTCCTTACATTCATCATTTTCAATTAGGTGTGGGCTATGGCGTCGTCTTAGGGTAAAAGAAAACAGTTCAATGAGGTCATGGATAAAAACTAACATTCATATAGATTTGGTGCACTATTTGCTCTTATTATGACAGGAATAACCTATCTGTGTAAACGATATCTGAAAGAAGTTCAAACGTCAGAAATGTACATGACAGCACAGCGTACTGTCAAGACAGGTTTGGTTGCGAGTGCTATTGTATCAAGCTGGACTTGGGCAGCAACTCTTTTGACAAGTACAGAAGTTGCTTATAAATATGGTGTATCAGTAAGTTGGATCACGTTTTGTTGGATAGATCTAACGATGGAATTATAGGGACCTATCTGGTATGCCTCTGGTGCTGTTGTTCAAGTGTTGCTATTTGCTGTATTAGCCATTGAATTGAAAAGACGAGCTCCCAATGCACATACTTTTCTTGAAGTTGTCTTGGCTCGATATGGAAAAGGCGCCCATGCTGTATATCTTGCATTCTCCTTGTTAACAAACATCGTAAGTTGAACAAACATGTGTGTATAGTCTTTTTTACTAAATAAAGAGAAAAAAATAGATCGTTACTGCTATGCTTCTTTTGGGCGGTAGTGCAGTAGTGAATTACTTGACTGGCATGCATACAATTGCTGCTTGCTTCCTTCTTCCTTTGGGTGTCATTGTCTATACACTCTTTGGTGGTATCAAAGCAACCTTCATGTCTGATTATGCGTAAGTTGCATATAAAAATAGAGAAAAAAAACCATACCAACACATCAATAGACATACAGTGGTTATTTTTATCATCATCATCTCTTTTGTGTTTACAGTCTATGCTTCTTCTCCAAAAATTGGATCCATCAGCACGATGTACGACTTGCTTACAGCTGCATCTGCAGCTTCTCCCATCGCTGACAACCAAGGTGGTTCACTCGTAACTATGTCTTCCTTACAAGCACTCTTGTTTGGGTAAGTTTAATACATGGAAAAAATAAACAAAAGACTCATATGTTGGTAGTATCATCAATATTGTTGGTAACTTTGGAACGGTCTTTGTAGATAACGCATATTGGCAACGTGCTATTGCAGCTCACCCACAGTATGCCGTCAAAGCCTACCTGATCGGCGGTCTTTCCTGGTTTGCAATTCCATTCACACTAGCCACAACAATGGGTCTTGCTGGACGAGCACTTCAAATTGATCTTACACCGTTTGCTGTCAGTCAAGGTCTTGTCTTACCTGATGTTGCGGTTGCACTCTTGGGTCAAGCCGGTGGTTTCGCCTGTCTTGTTCTCGTCTTCATGGCTGTGACTAGTGCTTCATCTGCTGAATTGATTGCTGTTTCTTCTGTTATGACGTATGATATCTATCGCACTTACATTAGACCCGATGCCGAGGGTAAACAAGTAGTTCATTTTTCGCATATCTGTGTTATTGCGTTTGGCATTCTCATGGGTGTCCTCGCTGTCTTGCTCAACTTGACAGGCATCAACTTGGGATACCTTTATACTCTGGTAAGTCATTAAGTCCTACCATTATTGTGTATTGACCCCTTGCATCAGATGGGTGTATTAATTTCTTCGGCTGTTGTGCCCCTGACCCTTACCTTGTTGTGGAGCAAACAAAACAAGATTGCTGCTATTGTATCACCACTATTTGGCTTTTGTGCCGCAGTCAGCACTTGGCTCGCGGTGACTTATAGCATGTACGGCACCATCACTGTGGAGACCACAGCTCAGAATTACCCAATGATGTCTGGCAATATTGTTGCCTTAGTATCTCCTATCTTTGTCATTCTTCCTCTTAGCTTGATCTGGCCAGACAATTTTGACTTTGATGCTACTCGAAAGATTGAAAAGATAGATGACTCTAATGATATTGACCATGAAGCATCCGAGATAACCCAAGATGAATTGGTATCCATGGCCAAGTCCTCCAGATTTGCGAAGATATCAAGTGCGGTCTTATCATTAGCTCTCTTTATCCTTTGGCCACTACCCATGTTCTTTTCGAGGTACATCTTTTCCAAGTCCTTCTTTACTGGATGGGTGGTTGTATCCATCATCTGGATGTTTTGTAGCTTCTTTGCTGTCGGTATCTATCCTGTCTATGAGGCGCGACATACACTTGTCAATGTGACTCGGGAGTTATGGCGAGATCTGACAGGGCAGCGTGTACCCAACTTACCACAAGCAACACATTTATCTGAAGAGAATATAGTTGTTTATACAAATGAAAAGAAAGTTTAATAAATTATTGGCTCATTTGATGTTACCCCGATTGATGAAACCTTAATCGTTTAAGGAAAAACGCCCTCTTCATTTCTTTATTTTCGCCCCTTTTTTGTTCTAAATTTCGTATTTCTTTTTTTTTTTCTAAACTTTTTTTCTTGAAATGACATTTCAAGAGATGCATGAAGCTGATGTACGTCTTTAGTTCAAAGAAAAAGCTAGTATTAATATATGCTTTTATTAGGTAAATAGCAGCTTATCACTAGAACAAGGTAAAAAAAAAGGGTTAAAGCGGTTATATGCGCGCGACCCTGATTTTTATAACTCATGATTGGATATGTTCTAACCTCGTCAATATACATATATTCTATTCAGGAACAAACCAAGTCAAGGTAAATATATAATGTGTGGGATGATGTATGATGGAAAACTGATGATTTCATTTTAGCAAAAGACACTAGCCATTATTAAACCTGATGCATACCACGCCAAGGACAGAATCATCGAGCGTATCCGACAAGAAGGATTCACGATCGTTCAAGAAAGAGAAATCACCTTGACAGAGGAAACAGCTAGACTCTTTTACAAAGAACACGAAGCTAAACCATTCTATGAGGATGTTGTAAAGTGGATAAGCAGGTAACTGTACAACGTTACATCAAGGCAAAACTTTTTTTGTTAATTCATCTTTCTATAGTTCGCCCATTTATGCGATGGTTCTCGAAAAGGAAGACGCTGTGCAGTCATGGAGACTACTCATAGGCCCAACAGATTCAAATAAAGCCAAGGCAACTGAGCAAAATAGGTAAAAAGCAAAATGCAAGACATACAAATAGAGCTTGTAACCCACGTTTTTCATGTTCCTATAATAGTATCCGAGCTCTCTTTGGTACAGACGCGTTACATAATGCCGTACATGGGAGCGACTGCCATACAAGTGCAGAAAGAGAAATCAATCTCTTGTTTGGTCAACCTGGTTGCGATGGTGACTCAAGCAAGAAGAGTTTAGCTATACAAGATAATACCGACTTGAGTGTTCATACAGCTGATCATGTTGAACATACTCATCAGTCTGAAGAAAAGTCAGATGATGCTATTTTAACAACAGATAAAAGAGACGCTACTCAAGAAACGTCTATGAACCAAACAGAACAAGAGGCAGCAAAAGAGATAAAACAGTCAAAAGATACGTCTGAACAGGCAAATGACCAGCCTGAACAGAAAAGCAGCCATGATGAAAAGCAACAGGGTACAGAAGAACGAGTTAACGTGACTACTGGAACCGCTGCCAACGAAAAGGCTGACCTTGTTACACCTACGTTGACACAGTCAGAGGAGCAGCAGGCGACCGAACACGACCAATTCGAGACTGTGGAAATAACGAATGATATCCAAGAACATGAAGTTCATGAGCAAACCGTGACTGAGGTATCTGTCATTGAAGAGCAAGAAAGTTCTACTATTTTGTCAAAGGAGCAAATAAACAAGCCCAACCAAGTCTCTGAGATAACTGTAGAAAAAGATCATGCTCAAGAAGAACAAAAAGAAGAAAAAGAGCAAGAAACAACAATCGAGACTGTATCTTTGTTAGAAGTAGCACAAAAACATGAAGTGTCCGCAGTAGTGGAACAAGTGGTGCACACTGAAGTTATCACAAAGGACATTAAACAAGAAACTATCAACGATATCAAAATGACAGAGCATGTTGATGACGAAGCCACAACAGCTGAGAATATAAAGGATAGCGCTGAAAGCAAAGTCGCCGAAACCATAAATGGTCACAACGAAAATAAAGTTGATGACACAGTGAAGCATGAAGATAAAGTTACAGAAAAGAGCAATGACGAAAGTAAAGTGCCAGAGATTGCAAAGAATGATGACAGTTTTAAAGCTTCTGTTGCTACAAAGGCTGATGACGAAAATAAAGTTGCGGACAAGAACGAAGACGGAGCTTCATCCGCTGAAGTAGAACACAAAGAATTAGTGGAGCAGGGTGATGTTAAAACCGAAGAGACTAAGCAAGAACAAGTAGATACAATAGTAAAGGAAGAACCTGTAGAGGCACGGGAAAATAAAGTTGAAGAAAATGTTAAGCGGGAGGCTTCAGTAAACAAAGAACCTGTGAACACCCATGAAGATCAACATCAAACAAACGCACGTACAGAGCAAACAAGTATCAAGGACGTCACTGAAACCTTAACCCCTGAAAACAATGTATCACCTGCCGTAGAGATATCGGCATCGACAAGTACAGAAAGTGCCGATGTAAACAAGGTTGAGACAGGTGATGCAGACACAGTACAAATTAACAGTCAGGGAACGGCTATTGCAGATGGCATCGAAAGTGAGACAGAGGTGACAGCGAATGATGAACCCTATAAGCCCGATGAGGCTGAACAAGAAGAACACTCACTTTTGGACGATGAAGAGCACTTGATCGAAACTGTTGTCCACACAGACGAATTGAAAGACATGATGGAAGAAGCTGAAGTAAATAATGATGTCACTACTAAAGAAAATGATGAAAAGGAAAATGAAGGGAAGGATGATACGGAAGAGTCGGCTTCTTCTGTCACTCCTGAAAATCAAGACAGGTTGACAGCTAGCGATCATGTCGAGGAGAGCAGCTCGTCGCATACTGAAGAGCACCAGACAGTAAGTTAAACGCATATGACTTGAATTTTACTCATACCTTTAAAAGATTTCTAGAGATTCTAGCTCTACTGCAAACAGCAGCAATACAGATAATCACAAGGAGGCAAAAGACAAATCTGGTGTAACCAAAACCAAGAAGACCGTGGTTAAGAAGGAAAGCAAGACGGTAACAAAGAAACCGTTGTCAAAAAAAGCAGAATCTACTGTTTCTAGGCTTTCAAATGTTAAGAAACCTGTTGTTAATGAAGAAAAAAAGACGCACGCAACAGTAACCAAGCAAGCTCGTGTACCCCGTGTTGCTACTTTGACTAAAAAGACGACAACAGAAGAGAAAAAGTCAGCAGAAGAAAAGCCAAAAAAGGTCAAATCGACCACTAAATCATTGGTCTCCCGATTGACAGCACCAACGGAAGCCAGTGCACGTAGAAAGACAACTTCCGCTGCTGTGCATGAGAAAAAGTCAACTGATTCTGTTGAACCTAAAAAAAAATCAACTAGTCCTACGAGTACAACCGTCAAGACAATAAAGAAAGCAACCACTACAACTACTACTAATAATACTAATACTGCTAATACTACCGCTAATCATCATGAACCTAAAGTGACTCTCCGCACTGCAACCGAAAAGCGTGCTACTCGCACATCACCCCCTAGTTCTACAACAACTATAAAAAAGGTAGCACTGGCATGAATAGTATAATATAAATAGCTAATCGACCCCTTTTTCTCCTCACCTCCTTAACTTTAGGTCACCTCCTCAAAACTTAATAATGACACTCATAAAGACACGATATCCCGTGTGTCTGGAACCTTGACCAGAAAGGAAATGCAGAAAAAACCCGTGAAAAAGGTAGTTGCCAAATCTGCTCATGGAAAGAAGGAAGAAACCAGTAAGAAAGATGTTAAAGAAACAAAAAAGGAAGCTACACCAAAAGCTCACGTTGAAGAGCAAAAAGAAAGCGATGATGATCATAAGCAGGAAGTTGGTGTTGAACAAGAGGAGCATCAAAAGAAGGAGACAGAGCAAGAAGAAAAGAAACATGAGATAATTATTGTAGAGACTCATGAAGAAGAAATCATAGAGCACAATGAGACTCATGAAGAAGAACCTGTAAAGCACAATGAACCCCATGAAGAGACTAAAGCACAAGGTGAGCCTCGTGCAGAAGAGACTAAAGAACAAGATGACCCTCAAAACGAGTCTTCCAAAGATAATCATGTTGACCTTGCTCCTGAGCAGCCAAAGCAAGAAGAAAGGAAACGATCTCGTTCACCTGAAATTGCTTCTATCCGCAACAAGTTCGAAGCACTTCAAGCTGCTTCCATAGTTACAAGCCAGTCTAAAGAACTCCGATCTAAATCTCCAAATCGCGTATCCGACATGATCAATCGCTTTACCCACTAAAAAGTTTTTTATTTTTTTTATTTCCTTGTAAAACAATGAATATAATAAAAAGATTGTCAACAACAACAAGACCCGTATTGAGTTATGGTTATACAAAGAGATATTTTACAGTAACCAGGACCTGCAGACATATGAGTCAGAACAAGACATGCTGGCAATGTCAAGCAACCAATAAACCAACTGCGCTATTTTGTGAAAATAAAGTATGTAATGTCATTCAACCCATTCCACCCGAGTTGAACTTTTTTCACTTGTTTGAAGCTGGAAATGGAGATACCAAGTAAGTACAATATACAGTTTAGCTTGAGAGTTCATTTTCACATGGGATAGACAGGAGCCCACGTTTGATATAGACTTGAAGGCACTTAGGAGAAGATTTTTATTACTTCAACAAAAGGCACATCCAGATAGTTATTCAAACTCACACAAGGTAAAGTCGCATGTTATATAGATGGTACTAACCATATGTTAGCGTGAACACGAGTATGCACAGCTGCAGTCATCCGTGATTAATAAAGCGTACAACACATTAAAGAACCCTTTGACGAGGGCCAAATACATACTCCAACAACAGGGTCAAAAGATAGAGGAACATGATTCATTAGAGAATCCAGAGTTATTGATGGAAGTAATGGAGTTGCGTGAAGAGTTGGAAGAGGCATCAAGTAAAGAAGAATTAGAAGCAATTAAACAAAAGAACGATGGTAATAGATAATATATGCATATAATGCTATGTGTAAACTAATAAGTAAACCTGTATGTATAGAAAAATACAAGGAAACTGTACAAAAATTGAAGGAAGCATTTGATAAAAAAGATTACATGCATGCAAAAGAATTAACTATTGAGTTACAATATTGGTCAAGCATTCAAACAGCAATTCATGATAAATAAATAAAACAGAGAGCTGTGTGTGTATTTGTTTTATTTATAAACTAACCCATTTTATTATCGTTCCAACGCATACTGAGGATAGTATTTTACATGTTCCTTTTTTGTTTCACCGATTTTTTACATATATTTTAGGTTATTTTTATTTTTATTTTTTCTTCCTTCTTTTCTCCCTTTTTATTCTTTGCTTTTATCAAAAAAAAAAAACTTTAATTATAATTATTGAATGGCTACCTTGACTCTTAACGGAAGGATGCCACCTTCTTCGGTAACCACGACAACCGTGCCCACCATGGATACACCACCGCTTACACCAATGCTAAAACCATTTATGATGAGTCCGACAAGTGCTGTGAATCATTCTGGATCTTTATACCATAATTGCCGCTCAGTCCTAGATAAATTATCTTTAATCGACGGAATGACAGAATACCTTGATAAACAGGCAGATACAACAGATCCTCTATCCAAACTTACTGCTATTTGTCGTCAAGGCTTTCCACTATGCAAACTATACAATGCTTTGAATCCTACCGAACCACTTAGCGTAGACACTGATCCGAATTTGAATGCCCGTAATTCTTGCAAAGCCAATGTATATCACTTCATTGTCGCTTGTCGTGACAAGCTACTATTTCCTGAAGAAGACATGTTTACCATCTCTGACCTTTATCAGGATGATACCAACGGTTTTGTAAAGGTAAAAAATTGCTGATATTTCATTATTTCTTTCTTTGTTCCTTAATGAATCTAATGATTTCTTGTTCCATTTATAGGTTGTTCATACAATCAATAAGCTATTGCAATTATTGGAGGAGCGGGGATTGATTGTCGTTAGGTCTTCCAATAGGAACTCAGATCCAAATGCTCCTAAAAATACAAGAGACAAAGTTGTATTGGAACTACTTGAGACTGAACGCAAGTATGTTCAAGATATGGAGATACTTCAGGTATTATGACATCTTGTTCTCTTTTTATTTTTACTAATATGCATCCCTTTATAGAATTACATGCGTGAACTACAGAGTCAGAAAGTAATATCTCCTGACACAATACACTACTTATTTGGCAACTTGAATGCTTTGGTTGATTTCCAACGCCGCTTCCTTATCCAACTGGAAGAAATCGCTGAAAAGTCTCCTCAGGAGCAAAGGATTGGCAACCTGTTTCTTCAAATGGAGAATTCCTTCTCTGTATATGAGCCTTATTGCGCAAATTATTATTCTGCTCAAGATTTGGTTGTACAAGAAACTCCTCGTCTAATGAAATTAGCTGACATTCTGGATCCTACATATCAGCTGCCTTCTTTGCTTATCAAGCCAGTCCAACGAATCTGCAAGTACCCTCTTCTCCTACAGGAACTAGTCAAGAGTACAAACAAGGATTTCCCCTATTATTATGAATCTCTCGAAGCTGTTGATGCTATTAAACGTGTAGCCGAAAAAGTAAATGAAACTCAGCGACAGCACGAGAACGTTCAAGCTGTTCAGGAGCTCAAAAAACGATTGGACGACTTGAATAATTTACCTCTGGATGGTTTTGGCAATCTTTTGATGCAAGACAAGTTGTTTGCTATGACTGCTGATAATCATGAACGCGAGCTTCATGCATTTCTTTTTGAGCGAACATTACTCCTCTGCAAGGAATCAAAGGGTAATAATATCCTCCCGACTAATACCTTGTCCAAGAAGAAACGTCGTGGTAGTCTTGTACCCAAAGTGATTGCTGATGCCGGGTGTATCTCGGAAATGAAGAGTCAGTGTAACAAAAACGGTGTTTGGTCTATGTCAATACGTTTGAATGAACACGAACTGAAACAGTTATCGATCAAGTTCCGTAACGAAGAGCAACTGAAGCTATGGTCCGCAGCCTTAACCAAGGTGCAAAAGAAGGCGCTTGAGTCTGAAGCTGAATTACTCTCTATGCAACTGGCTTCTCGTACTTATGACGACTATGATGAGGAAGATCTCTATGGTGATGAAGATGAAGAAGATTATCACTCTACGAGCACGACTACCACGTCAACAACCGCTAGGTCTCGTTCTGGATCATTCAGTAGTCATCATCATGTCATGATGCCTCCCTTGATTCTCAAGGCCTCACAAAGCACAAGTGTAGGACGTCCCCACCAGAATGTTCCTGGAATGAACCTGTCACCTTTGCCTCGATCCAATTCGAGCTTTTCAACCGTGTCACAGAATCATTATAACTATTACCCAGCTTCACCCCCTCCTTCTCATCCTTCGTCACCTATATCAAGCACCACTCGAGCAGTCAATACCAATGCTTTTTGTTGGCCAGAGGATAATATACCCGAGTTGCCTAGTGAAGCATTTGTGCAGCAACACTTGCATCAGCATACACTTGCTAAAACGGGTCGCTCAAAGTCTCAACCCTCTGGTGAATCAAAGAATCAGCAATCACCCTTGCCTAATAACCGCCTTCGTTCACAGAGCAGTCCAAACCTGATGAAGAATGCAAACACTGTATCGCAGATCATGGAGTCTTTGCCACCCCTTCGTCAGTCTATTGGTAAGCCGTCGGAACCTGAAATGAAGCCATCTACGAGTACCCGTTTGGCTGATATCGTCATGACTCCTTCCAGTACGACCAGTACACCAACTTCATCCTCTGGAGCTATGAAGATTAAGCTCAACTTCAATAACAACATTTATGTCATTGTGACAAATCAAAATATCACTTTTTATGATTTAATGGAAAAGATAGATCGAAAAATCCGATTGATAGCCAATCTTAAGCCTACAGATGTGCTACGCTTAAAGTATCAAGATGAAGAAAGAGATTTTATCACCATCAATTCAGACGATGATGTTCAGATGGCCTTTGAGGCTGGTGGAAGCACTAACACTGCCAATCTCTTTGTTAGTATCTAAAGTCCTATTGCCCAAAACCTTCATTTCACCTCTATGAATATGGTTCTATATATCACACACACACACACACACACACACACACACACATACCCTTACCTTTACCCTGTCCTTTCTTTAGATGTATTATGTTTTAGCTATGCTACCTCTCATTAACCCCTCCTCCCTACTGTAGACATTCCTTTTGATTTATATAATTTGTAAATATTCCGTTCCTTTTTCGTTTCAATACGTATATATCACACACAATAAAAAGTTTTTTCCGTAAAATTTAAAAATGGAAGCTGACACACAATGGGGAAAAGATTTCCCAATGCTGTCTTTTTAGTGTGGATCAATTCTTTTTTAAGGACATCTTATCCTTTCTTCTTTTCTTTATGGAGCCTGCAAAAAGAGTGTTGTCAAATCATTCAACAAAGAGCTATCTGGAACGGGAGCTTATTGTTTCCCTAGATAATGATGGGCCAATGATCGGTCCGACCTTAGAAACTATAGAAACAACAGATGAAAATACAGTAACTGTGCATCAAGAGCCACCGAAAAAAGAGAAACGATGGTGGAAATCAAACGATACCACAGATCCTAGACAATATTCGAGATTAAAGAAGAGCATTATTTTATTCATCATTGCCATTGCGGGTTCCATGTAAGATGGTAGTATATAGTATCATCGGTTCTAATCCTTGTTTTTGGGTAGTTCACCAGTTGCATCTACTGTTTATGTAAGACAAACGTTTTTCTTGGTTTGTTTATATGCTAATTCCTTCTGTAGTATCCAGCCATCATTACAATGCAAACATACTTTAAAACCGATGATACAACTATGAATGCATCTTGTAAGCTGTTAGCCTTGATTTATTCATTTTACAGAATTCAGAAATTAAAAAGATTTATAGTATCCGTATTTACTTTTCTTACTGCCTTTTTTGTAAGTGATATTCGCTAACGTTTAAAAAAAATTTATATTTATATCAAGCATTAGCCACTGGTATGGGCTACATTTAGTGATCGCTTTGGTAAGACAATCACGTGAATATTTAAGATGTATGCTTATCTATTATGTGCATAGGCAGAAGGAATATTTATTTGATCTCATTCGCGATATCTGTAATTGGAAGTGTCTGCTGTGCTGTTTCTATTAATGTGCAGATGTTTATTGCATTTCGTGCTATTAGTGCCATCGGTTCCTCTTCTGTAAGTCCATACATCTGTCTGCTTTACTTGTCTACTTATACTTTTTTTTTCTAGGTGATGTCTATGGGAGCGGGTACAATAGCTGATGTCTTTGAACCACATGAACGTGGAAGAGCATTTGCCTACTACACTTGTGGACCACTTCTTGGCCCTGCACTTGGGTAAATACTGCTCCACACACGTCCCTTGCATATACATATAAACCTAATTTATTTGTAGTCCGATTATTGGTGGATATCTAAATCAAGGACTAGGCTGGAGAAGTAATTTTTGGTTTCTGGCTATTTTTGCATTTTGCATATGGTTTTCCATCTTCTTTTTCTTGCCAGAGACTTGGAGAGAAAGCCCTGCCTTGCCAAGTGAAAAACAGGATGAAAATTTGAAACGTCCGACAAGAATCATTAACCCGATAAGCGCGCTAAGACTGCTGCTGTATCCAAATATTGCTTTAGCTGTTACATTTGTTGGGGTTCTGTAAGTCAGATATGCATAATTTATTTACAATGTGTATACTCATGTACCATAGATTCTTTGTGCTCTATCTAAACAATACAACCTTTACAAGAGTTTACTCTGACCAATACGGGTTTAGTTCCGGTATAGTAGGCTTATGCTATTTACCACTTGCTGCGGGTTCCATGGCAGGCGGCGTTGTTGGTGGAAGACTATCAGATCAAATATATAATGCTCGCGTGGCCAAAGCAAAAGAAAAAGGACAAGAAATATTCCCAGAGATGCGTCTGAATGGGCTCATCATAGGCGGATCAAACATTTTACAGCTTTTCTCTTTGGTAGCATATGGATGGTGTATTCAAAAGAACGTACATTTTGCCTTTGGCCTTGTTTGTCAAGTCTTTTGTAAGTAGTACAGCTGAGAGCGATACTTTTAGAATGAAACTAAGCTGTTATTTTAAATCAGATGGTTTTGCCGCTATGCTACCCAATGTTACCATTAGTGCGTACATGGTGGACTGTTTCCGTAAACAAGGTGCATCTGTCACGGGTAAGATAAGAAAACAAATAAAACATGCGAAACTTATACTTTTTCTATTAGCTTGCAATAACTTTTTAAGATATCTCATGGCAGGTGTTGGGTCGCTTATAGCATCTGATATTCAGCATGCTATGGGAAATGGCCCTTTATTTACTTTTGGCGGGGCTCTTATGGCGGCGTTCTCTATAAACATATTTATTATAAAAAGATACCCTAAAAAATGGGCTTCCTTAAGGAAAGACGTGATATAATAATAAACTTTAGAATAATCTTAAACACTGTGTGCTTTAGCTTAAACCCCTTTTGTCTACCTGGTTATACAGGCATATGTTTTTGAGTTTTTCAGGTTTTTTCTAAGTTCAATTCTCTGCGTGTTTTTCTTATGAAGACGCCTGTGAGTAGCTGTCTTTTTTTTTTTTTGCATCTAATAAAATGTAGTAGAGTCAACTCACGCATAAAATTCACAATGATACTTTGCAAGCATCGCGTATACATGCTTTATTGTTACTCTTATTATCATTCGTCTGCATCTTTTATCCAAGTGCACGTAGAATGCCATTATGGATATGCCTTCAGCTGTCATTCCATTGCTTGTAATCCTTGTTTTGCTCCGTTTTTATTCAAAGAATGCAAGCAATATCGAATGTTTTTTTATAAACAAATAACAAATGACTCCATATAGCTGCTAGCCGTTCCTCAACATTTGATTGAAGTATAACAAAGCATTCATTAACATTTACTTGGTCTATTATTCATCCCTTCACTCATTTTATTTAAAAACTAATTACCACTAAAAAGAATAAAAGATTAAATTAAAGAGAATGCTTTGTTATTTTTGGCATTTTTTGGCAGTGCAGCAGTCATTGCCTTTAGCGTTGGTAGGAGCGCATTGCAAGGCAGTAGTGGTAGTGGTAGTAGGAGCCTTGGGCCCATTATATTTTCCCTTAATACAGCTGTCACAGCAGTCATTAGAAGAGGAGCAGCAATAGCCATTGAATCCATTACCCTTTTTCTTGCCTTTAGATCCGGTGATATATGAAGCAGTGGCAGTAGTAGCAGTAACAGTAGTAGTGATGGTGATTGTCGTCGTTGCTGTGAAGGTCCCAGCGTTAGTTAGCGTAAGAGCACTATCAGGAGCGCCATCACAAACGTAAAACACTGTTGGAAAACTTTGGCTAGAGTATCTACAAAGAAATTCACCCACATTTGAGACGGTTAACGATGCAGGTGCTCCATCTCGAATAAGTCACCTTGCTGTGAGGGTAGCGTCTATGAGATGCTTGACCAACAAGGTCAGGAAAGCTGAGAAAGCTTATTTCTGGTTTACTGATATCATCAGACATGTAATCGAGTAGTTCATGATCAGTATAGAACCAAAGCTTATACGTGAGACCACTATCACCGTTCAATGAATACGAAACAGATATGTCAGCAGTAAAAGTGCAGGCTTTTGTGGCAAGGAAAACTAACCCAAGGGCAGAGGACACTGCAATTTTCATTGTTATATGCTATAATAATATATAGAAAAGCAGCAAGAAAAGAAATCGAGAGTTTTTTGGTTTGTTTTTAGCTTGAAATTGTGTCGTGTTATTTCAAGGCTTTAAAGACAACTGCTACTCCGAGATGTGTCGATCGCCCATAATGGATACCATTGGTGCTTCAAAACATGCTTTATGCCTAAAAGTAAGGTAAAGACGATCGAATCGGTCAAGCGAGCAATCTTTGAGCCTATTACGGCGACTGTGTTACGAATCAAGGAATTATCCTTTTAGGTATAGTGTAACAAAGAATTGCGGCATTATTTTTGCTGACTCCATTCTTTGATTATCATTTGTACAGCCAGCTATCCAATTCAAACTACCACCAGCATCAATTACTCGATATGTAGCTAAAGATTGGATGCACCACATTCAGTCGATCAGTTGTTTAAATGGTAACTACTCTCGAAGATGAGTAGACCTTGAACATTTAGTCGCGGACATAAGTGTCTATTTGGTACTTTTGAAGACCTGTAACCATCCCAGAGAATGAAATAGCAATGTGGTTTCAAAATGAACATTGCGTGCTTCAGGGGATATAGATCAATTAAGATTCACATTACCATTAGCATTAATATAAACTCATCCTTTGTGCTCGAAGGTACCGAAATAAGCCAAAAAGTTTTCATCGTTCTTTATAAATAGCTTATACGCTATTGGTAGATCATATAGTATTCGATTGCAAGCTCATGTTTTGTTTATATCGAATCAGATAGAAAAACATATAATTAGTATTACTTTGAGTTGTAGTTTGGTTACGTTAGAGTCATGCTTACACATTAGATTTCTATTAATATTCTTCAGCTTTACTTGTTAGATTAAAAAAACCCTATTCCCTGTGCCAGAAGTTAAGGCATGGATTCGATTACCAGTATAATTCAGAAGAGATTAAGTGACTTTTTCCATAACTTGGACTTTGATAGGGCTTATGCATTATTAAACTTAGAATAGATAAATGGCAACTGAATGTCGCATACAGGATAGTATACTTTTTAGGGTCTGTAATATTCTTTCCCATGCTTCTGGGGGTGGTTGACAGATATGTTGATTTTGTATTTTTTTTTTCTTTTAATTTTTCAAATAATGCGTGCTACGTATCAATATTCTTCATACAGCTGCTCATATTTATCGCATTTGCAGTGATGATTTGTTGGTTGTTTATGTCTGAATGATTAAATCCAGCAAGAAAGCGGAAGCAATAAACTTAGCCTGTGGGTAATGTTTCTAGGCCTTGTTGAGTAAAACACAGATATTATAGTAGGGCCTTTCAATGTTGGCATTACCGCAAAATTTTGTAAGGCAGCACAGCTCAACTGTTTCAATGGTAATGTGTGGCTCAAAGTTTAATAAAAAATTGGTTTACAAAAAAAAATTGCTTCAATGGCACAGTCGGCCGAATAGCTCCAAAATAAGAGCCTGTTCGCAATATGATCCAGAACATTTTCTTTGTGTTTTAAATACGTATAAACCAAGTAGTATACATTACAGTAGAATCCCACAAAAGGAATACCAGCATATGGAACGGCTTTTTTTTTACAATTGAAGGAAGAATGAGTTAAAGCTTGTTATTTTGCTACTTAATAATTGCTTTAAACGGCATTACTCTATTTATAAAATAACAAAATTTAATAAAGAGAAAAAAAAAAAAGATAAGCTATCCCTTTCGGTAACGATGATAGCTAAAGAGCACTAGTGCATTCATCCAGACTCTCTTTTCGCAGGTTTGAATACGATATTTTTTTATCAATCTTCGTGCTTCTGCTCCATATTGTCAGCAAGCCATTTTCTTTTCATTTTATTAAATTGCATATCTAGCCTCGGTGTAAAGTCTATGATCTTCAATGATCATCAAGAACAAAAGAGGAGAGAAGCCTCGGTTTACTTGCAAAAATAAAAAGATCTTTCAAAAATTATATAGTCCTTAGCACGTCTACCATCAAGACGTTGCTGCTTACTGAAAGAATATAAGAAACACATCTAAGAAAGTGGTAACCAATTTCTCAGAATAAAAACAAAGATTCCGGTAACCAAGTGATAATCCATCACCATAGTAACTGCATTCGGTGACAAGTTGTGCTACTTGATGCATCTGAAATTGGAATAGCACTTTATCTAGGCTTCAACGTTTTTTATGATTTTTTAATATTAAAAAAAAATGTGGCAAATCTTAAATCTTATTGATCCACTAAAAAAGTCAAAGAAACTCCCTCTTTTTATCGTTTTAAAAAGAAAAAGAAAGAAAGGGATTGAATCCTTATTTTAGTCATTAGATACAACGAAATATATGTTGTACTCATTAAGATGCTTTTATAGAGAACGGGTATTGGGATGTATTCCCAAATACAGGACACCTTTTACTTGAAATAGGCACTTGTCATACTTTTTCAATATCTGACATCTAATATTCTATCGAAACAAGGAGAAGAGAAGAAGGCAAGTAAGCTTTGATTGATGGATTTCAAAAGAGAAGGAGGAGATGAATTGTGAATTCATTCATGAAACAAAGAAATATAAAGATTAAAATAGGTATTTTCTTTCATCTAATATCGTGCACATACACAAACAGACACACGAGTTTCCAAATTTGATACAGCTCCTATTGAATCTCTCAACAACATTTCACTTAATTTTATTTGTGTAGCCAAATCTATATTCGTTCCTATCCTCTCTTCGCTCTGTTCTTCTGTGTGCGTGTGCGTGCGCCTCGCATTTACAATCTATATCAACCTTTTCCTTCTTTCTTTTCTTTTTCTTCTTCTTTTTTCTTCTTCACCTTCTGTGTCTGATCCTTTCCTTTCTTTTCCGTGCATAAACAGAATAAAACCAAATTCCAACAATGAAATTTCTCGTCACTCTTTGCGTATTAGTTGTTGTCTGTGTCATCCAAGTCGTTCAGGCTACTCAACTCCGTGGTCGTGGTATTGCTACCATCATGCAGTTCGGCAATTCTACTGTATCTGATCTCGAAAAGCGTGGTGGACGTGGCACTTGGTAAACATAACATCATCATTTGTCAATTTTATAAAGCTAATCACTACAGTATATAGGTACAGTGGAGCTGACTTGAAAAATGCCGCCTGTTACGACCGTAAAGGCCTTCCTAAATACTCTGCTACCATTCACAGCATGATCGGTGCTATGGTAACGCCATGACAGTAACTTATAAACTGATAACTGATCATTATTTTTCTCTTTTATAGGCCATGAAGCAGTTTGAACAATGCTACAAGTGTATGAAGGTCACCAACAACAAAAATAAGAAGAGTGTCGTTGTAAAGATCGTCGATAAGTGTGCTGGTTGCAAGGTTGGCAAGGCCATCGACTTAACCCCTGGTGCCTTCAAGAAGCTTGCTGATCTTGACGTTGGTGTCATTGACATCTCTTGGAAGACTGTTTCTTGCCCTAAAAATATTAAGCCCAAGATGGGTCCCAAGAAGGCCTAAAAAATACAGGCAAAAGGCAATAAACTACAAAACTTGTACTTTATAACTCCAATTGTTCCTAGCTTATACATCCCTTCTACTTATACATATACACAAGCACACACACACATTTATACACTTGTATCTCTAATCACCCTATCTATTTGTATATTTCTTTTTTCTAATAAAATGGCTCTAAAAGAAAAAAAAAAGCAAGATAGCTGTCACTGATGCAAAGTAGCAAAAGATGAGTATCCGCTTGTCTCTCTTTCCCTCATGCGTGTATGTGCTTGTGTGTATATGTGTGGTCTGTTTAAATGATATAAAACAACAAAGAGAATTGCTTTAGTGTGTAGCAAATACAGGTCGGCGTCACTTTTTTATTGGAATGATGTATACATTTAGTTCTTCTTTTCTTCGGCTTCGGCCTTTTGAAGGAATTCGCGAATGAAAGCTTCCTCATCAGCAGAGCTGGCTTGAATTGGAGGAGTGGCGGGTTGAGGAGCCTTAGGCTTCATGATATAGTAACCACCGATGGCAGCGTAAGCACCAATGAAGGCCATGGCAATCTATATTTGCACGAATAAGCCACACAAGCATATACGCACCTTTTACTATTTTCTTACCTTGTGGTTAGGAACTTGCTTTCCGGCAATAGTGTAGTAACCTCCCATTTTAAATTCGGTGAAGAAAAAAAGTGACAATTGATTTCAGGCAGGGGCGAATTAAAATAGGTAAAAGAAAAAAAATACAAGAGCCTAGGCCGGAAGTTTAATTGAGCAGTGACGCACGTATTACAGAACTCCGCAAGGCAACCCATGGAACAGCCTGTTGGTGTAGTGTACTTTTTTGCAGCATCGCTTTGTTATATTAGTTCACATGTCCAACCGTACTCAAGATTTGCCACCCCAAGGAGGATTTCCAGAAATTAAATATCGTCGCTACTTGCCCAAACGCGGTCCTTCTGGTGCCGTGCTACTTTCAGGACTGGTTGCCCTTTCAGCATACGGTTTTTACAAGGTGGGTGAAGGCAACGTTGAAAAGAGGTAAACTGAATTGTTTAGATAATGTTGCTCTTGTACTTATAGCATTTATAGAGAATTAAAGCGTGAAAACCTTTGGTCTCGCATTCATCTCGTCCCTCTTTTAACTGCTGAAGCCGATCGTGATGCTTATCGTCGTTCTGAAGCTGCCAAGGCTCGTGAAGCAGAGATCATGAAGAATGTTGAAGGCTGGAAAGTTGGAGAGTCTGTTTACAACAACACAAAATACTACACTCCACCAAACTTTGTTATTGTCCCTGAAGAAAACTAGACACCTTATTCAACTTGTTCAAATACATAATATGCAACTATATCTCACTTATTGTTACTTTGACATTTGCTTGTTTTTTGTTTTATATTTTATAGAGAGAGTTTATTTACTATTCTATATGAAAATCTGATAAAGAGCCACCAATACAATGACAGCGTATGATAATGAAGAGACATGTAATGAAGCAGCAGTATTACCTCCAACAGGATCTGGAGTATTACCAGTACTAAATTCAATGTTTCTGAAATATGTCGAGGTATCGACAGGTGTAGCATAGTTGCGTGTTGAACCGCCAAAGAAGGTACTAAACATAAAACTGGATATACCAAGATTTTCATTTGAGCGGAACTGGATATGCTGTTGATTGATCATAAGCGAGCCATCCTGCCAGACTTCGAGAATACCATTTGTATTTGATCCTGAATTGAGTTTAACATAGATATCAATATGAGTCCATTTCATGTTGGAAAAACGGATAATGCCTCGAGAGAAGGAGGTGCCATAATCGCTATTACATACGACTTGTTTCGATTGGCAAAGTGAATCCGATGTGGGTATATAAGCGTATGCTTCTCCAGCGCCTATGAAAAGCAATCAGTAAGTAAGTTGATTTTAATTTACTTATGCATAGCTTGCCTCCTTCTCTCCACATCAAGCGGATGGAAAAACAATTATCACCATTTGCCTTCTCGCCTCCAGAGCAGCCCTTTCCGGCAGGCAGGCCACCAAAGAGCCCAGGCAGCTTTCCACCCTTGACCCAGTTGAAAGTGGAATCGAATGCAACATCATAGCTTAATAATGCTGTGTTGTATTGATTATTACCGTTGGGTGTCGAAAAGAACTCAGCTCCACCTTTAATACCTCCACTTCCATTTTTGGTGGCCACAGGGGCATAAGAGCCTGCAGGATAATTCACTTTGAGGACCATGGATGTAGAATTGGTATCTATAGGATCTTTGACGAAGTTAATGTCATCTGGCGCATAAGCGCCTGAGGTATACCAGTTGGATCTAATGTAACTAAAAGCATCGGTTGTGATAGAAGAAGTAGGGAAAGATGGAGTCCAGGTTTGAGTTAAATTGAACGAGGCTGCTCTTGCCGACACGTCTGCGTTGACAACAATCGATGCAATAGAAAGTAAAGCGAAATAACGCAGCTTCATTTAAAATTAATTAAAAAAAAAGAGAGAGAGAGAGAGGAGAGAAAGGAAAAAAGGAACCCAAGGATGCAGAACGACAAAGGCTAAGAAATACTTGTGGGACTCTTTTTTTGGATTCTAAAAATAGGAGATTCAAGTAGGTGTCAACACGCGAGTTGTTTTATTGGTAGTTATTGTTTGCAGATTCTAGTATCACATAAGTAAAGAAGGTAAAACGGGGGCTTATTGTTGGCAAGCAAAAAATGACATAAAGAACATAATAATAGAAAGAAAAAAAAAAACCTACATAAATACATAAGAAAAAAAACCATAGCTATGAGCTGCAGCGGTTTAATGATTGGCTTTGCTGAACTGTTAAATATTCGTCTTCCTCTTCTTCCGCGTCATTAATTACATCACATAAATCGTCGCCATGAATACCATTATTATTGTTGTTATAGAGCAATTTATGTAGTACATTTTCTGCTAGCATTTTGCCTCGAAGTTTATCACAAGCCTCTCTCAGTTTATGATTTTCCTGTCGAGCAGATTCTAATTGACGTTGTAATATATCATTTTCCTGGGAAAGCGACATTATTCTACTTCTCATCTCTCCATGCTGTTGGTTTTTCTTTGCACGATATTTGGCCGAGGCAGCCTTATTACGCTGACGACGTTCATGTAGAGAGAGTGATGCATTGTTACTGCCATTATTAGTGGATTGATTGGACTGGTGTTCTAGTTTGATCAAAAAGGTTGACGAAAGAATTGACTGATCAGTCACACTCTCGGGTGAACTAGGCACAGAACAAGAAAAGTGCGGTGAGAGTGGCTGATGAAGTTGTATTTTTTTAGAAGGAGAGATAGGTGGTGTGACAGAAAAATCAGAATATGATGGAGGTAAGGTAATGGAAGAAATAGACATTGGCTTATCGCATTGTCTCGGTGTAATGGATAATGACATGAGTTATAGATAAGATAGAGAAAAAAAAAGAGAGAGAAAAAGAGAATATGGACCTTTTGTTTTATATTTAAAAGAGGTGCATTTGTCATTTTTAGAAATATTAAAAAAATTGCCACACAACATACACAATATTTGTTTGAGACGCAACTATATATCCTTAATATCCTATAGGTCAATTACCAATGCTACCATACAATAATACAACCCTTTTTTGTTCATGACGTTGAATGATTATTAAATATAAAATGCCATGATTCAGGACTGACTTTTGACCAATACTTTGTTGCATAATCAGTTTATACAACGCAGTAACAGCGGCAAATATAGACTGGTCTTGGTTAAGATCACCTTGTCTTAAATTATTTCTTTGTGCCTGGATTTTGGCCGGCTCTTTTTTTTTTTT